ATATATATATATATACACTCGTCTTTTGTACAGAGTACTACACGAACGCAAAATTAATGATAAATATTCATCATTGGATTAAAAATTGAAACAATTTTTAAGTTTTTGTAACTATATGTTAACAAACATTTTCATAATTTCTGCATCTTTTCTCGAAACAGGTAGCGTACATGACAAGTGGTGAATATACATCGTATACAGAATTTACGCAGTAAATGTGTTCGCGTTACATATATATATATATATGTATATATATCTTTTTTCTTTTTTGGCGAGAATTACTTGTACCTTAATATTTATATCCCTCAATTCACTCGTATCATTCGCTGCTCATACGCTTGAGCTCGTACGTGTACACAATATTTTAGTGTGACTTGTTTAAATCGATGTAGCATTCGTTGGCTGGACAGCAGTTTAGAAACATTGCGGTTACACACTGATTTATTCGACAAGTCCATTAATTCAAACCTAGATAGCTTCTTTTTTTATTTTTATGACAAAATACATATATGTTATCGAAAAAGTGGCGTAGTAATCGAGAGCAAAGAAAAATATTTCAACGATTAATAAAAAATTATAAATTTTTTAAACTTCAATATTTTTGCGGAAAACGCAGAAAAAAACTTAACACATATATCTTTTATATATATAATATGTATTATATATCTCTCGCATATACTTGTTTCTCTGTCTCTCTCTCTCTCTCATTGTTATATATCAAATTTGCCATCAATCACAGATCATTTATTAAATTTCAAATTATTGTTTTATTAAAAAAAAATTCTTGTCACTATTTAGTTAATTTGCAACATCAAATACTTCGAGACAATTAGTTTTAGATAATATTCTTATTAAGACAAGATCAAATAAGTTGCAATTTTAACCGAGGATAATATTAATTAATTCGATACAAAAATTAAGGCCATCATAAAATTTTCGCCACGAAATCAGCTCTAAATTGGTTGAAAAATTCGTCACGTTAACGAAGAAAGATGATGATCGGACGCCATGCAAATATATATTCTCTTTCTCTTAAATTTCTTACGATCACAGAATATATAAGAACTAGAGATTTACCTTAGCAATTATTTTGTCTTTCCACTATTATCGTGATTTCACAATATGACTACGCAGTTTCGCTTTAACTCTTCAAACTCGCGTTTAATTCACTGTGCACGATTCCGTTCGCATGGTACGTATTTCGTTCTATAGTGATACTGGCAATATATTAAATTTACATTTAACAGAAATTAAAAACATTAAGTCGCTTGGTATTAATTAATTTGCAACTTTAAATCACAGAAGAAACGTGTTTGATAACATCATTTCATGTAGCATTTCTTAAAATTCCTCGGTGCAACGCTAAAATATCACACTCTGAAAACAACGATTTTACTTTTATAAAATATTGAATATGTATATATAAATACTAATAGAGATTATCTAAAATAAAGTCGAAATATCCGACTGCACGTACACGATGAGAAAAGTCGCGATTAAAAGTACATGTGCCTAAAAAATAATTTCGTCCCATGTAAGCTTCAATATGACACAGTTATGAAAAGCTAATTGATATCAGAAAAATATCATATGTTAAATATATAGTAGGGGAGTAACACAAGAGAAGTTTATTGAAAAAGAACTGATTTAGAATGGTAGTACAGAAGACTTCTATGAGGATTTTATACCATAAATAATATTTACGGCATTAGATAAAACTAAATCAAAGTCATTAGAGTGAAGTGAATTAGAGATAGACGAAAAATATCAGTAGACATTTAGAAACTAATTATAAAAAGACACTAGATATATGAAAAACTTTATAAAAATTGAATAAAGAGATTTAGATTGTGTGTGTGTGAGATAGATCAAATTAAAATGTGTATAGTAATCCTTGTATAAATTCACAGAATTTAATAGATTACGTATATACACTTATGAATATATACATATTCATACACGTAATACATATATATGTATTACAAATGTTAAAAATAGCAAAGAAGTGATCTTAGCATTTTCAAAGCATATTCAAATTTACATGGGAAGAAAAAGCTACATAGTTACGCACAGAGGATATCATTATCATTATCACATCTATATTGTTAATCATAATTCCTCTGCAATCTTTTCGCAAATCAATTAATATTGGCGTACGTTAAAATAGCGATAGTAATCGTGATAATAGTTATAACAATTAACAACAACGATACATTTTCACGATTCCGATATAATACCGCTTTCTGCGCGCATGTTATATATTATATTATATTATATACAGTTCTTAAAAAATATTCGTATATATATGCATATAAATACACGTATACAAACATATATATATACACACATATATAGGAAATATACTCCGAGCGTAATATATATCGCGATCGCATAATTTAATCCAACAAGTTCCTGAGTCAATATTTGTTCTATAAAAATTCCACATTATCTCGTTAAGAAAAATATACATAAGATTTAATCGAAAAATTATAAATAATATCCGATTAAATAACAAAAGTTCATGTTTCTCCACAATTGATTCTTCGTAAATATAATCATTTATTCTCTTGGCCAGCAAAAGCGTTGTTCATATTTCTGTCGCTAAATTACTCGCTAAATTACTTCCACGAATATAGTCTTTTAAAAATGACACCATTGACACCCTATCGAAAATTATAGTCGCTTTCTTCGCTACTATACGCTTTCCTACTATATATTTTCGTCTATCAGTCTGGCAGTGTCCTTTTTCTCAAACTTTCACAATACAGTTTTCTTCTTTATCGCAACTATGGCTGTAAACTTATACTGTGTGATTTTTTTATAAAAATGTTCATATATATATATGAACCGATAGTTAATTATTATGTGATGTATCGTGATGAGAATAAAGCGCATGTAAAAATGTGTGTAGACACATCTGAAAAAAGTAAAAATTTTCAAAAAATTTCTTGTTTCTTGTAACATTAGTCTTTTTACAAAATAAAAAACCGAGCACTATTATAATTGCAAGAATATAAATTATGTTTAGAAAGACAAATATCAAATATATGATTTTAAGATCACTTTAAAATAATCAACAAGCTAATTGGGAAATTTTTTGAAAATTTTGGAAATTATATATAAGTTTCAAAGATGTAACAAAGCTATTGAAATAATGGATATGATCGTAGATTAGAATCATAGATAAATTATAGTACATATTTCCAAGGTATATATATATATATATTTAAGTTTATACAAAAATATTATATATTTATATGTAGAGGATTTCATATTAACAGGGATTATCACCCTTGTTCTTAATCATAATTCCTCTTTCAAATTTTGAGAATTATATTTATATACAACTTTTATTTTTATTTTTTATTTTTATAATTTAATTATTCTTATTATCTTTTAAATCATTATGTATATAAAAAGGAAAGTAATAACAAGCAAGAGCAAGTCTATTTCTATAACATACTCTTACAATATGTAGATCATGCTGGCTTACAGGGATCTTAGATGGACTCTATAACACTGAGTGAATTTAATCTTAAAGGGGGAAAATCAAAAGATATGAATACAAAATATTGTAAACCACGTCAAATGATTACAGCACTAATAACTTATATATATATATATAAATTTAATTTCAATTATATAATATTTATATATGAGATTGGTTGTATGTAACCAAAGATTGGACATTTTCTACACATCAACTACAATATTTGTGTACGTTTTTTTATAGTTTTTTAGGCACACAAACTGCATGTTTAAGTTGACATTGTTACGATTCCAACAAGTTTCGAATCGATAGAAATTTCACTACGATAGAATTAAAATATTGAAATGAAATACCAATTAAAGTTTTCTACAATGGGATATTATGCTACATGTACAAAAGAAAGAAAGAGAGAGAAAGAAAGAGAGGGGGAGAAAGAGAGAGAAACAATGAAGCAATTATGTAATAAAAAGTAAATAATGTACAATAGTGTCACATGCTACTATTTCTCTACCAAACTATTTCACAAACTCTAAGAAAGAGAGGAAAAAATTAATAGCGTTTTCGCCCGGCTTTGGATAGCTCTGAAAACGATTAACGATAACAGTCTCACGTAGATCTCGCGTAACGGTCTCCAACATCTCACATTCAAGTATAAAAAAAAATATATATGTGTGTGTGTTTATATATACATTTTTTTAAACTATATATTTTTATTATATATTTTTTTCAGTGTCCAATAAAAATTTATACAAAAAGATAATTGCTTCCAGAGCAATTCACTTATTGTTAGTCGAAAATGCTACAAGAAAGAAAAAAGAAAGTATCGTTCAGCGGATGCGGGGAACTTTTTCTTCCTCTTCGCCAGATATATAAATATCTGTATTAATCTTAAAAAAGAAACAACAAATTATTCGTAAAAAGATAGAAGGCACACCGACAAAATGACAATGAAAAACATGATCGTTTTAATAGAAACACACATTTCTATCTACCGAATATAATCTATACAAAGTATTTACATGCAAAGAAAACTGTACAGGAAAAATATATAAAGAAAATAAAGAAAAAGAGAAATATTTCTATTAATATAAAATGTATGTATGTCCAATTGTCGACCTGCCTTCCACTCTATAAACGTTTTTTTTCTTCTTTGTGAGTCTCATCTAAATCACGAAAGATCGTGTTATCAATGAATTTTACTATATCTGATATTCAGATTCAGATTCTTTTCTATGTCTTTCTTTACATCCGACTGACACAGTATCATCACAGGAAAATATATTTTTACTAATTATAAAAAACCAGGGTATAGATCATGTAACTTTTCTCTAAGGCAAAACCATAAAAAGTTAAAAATTTTATTATTGAAATTAATAGTAATTTTTTTTTACTTTTCACGTTTCCGCTCTAGGAAAAAGTTACATGTTCGATATCCAGAAAGGAGCAAAGAATGAAATATTATTCTAAACAATTTAGCTCCTCCCAATTTCCTCTATTATATGTACATATATTGTCCGTCCTACCGAACGATACGAAATAGAGATGTTTTACTCCGGTATAGAGGGAGGAGGTGGTGGAGGAGGTGGCGGGGGTGGCGGTCCGCTCGGCAAAGGTGGTGGAGATGGAGGCGGTTCAAGCGGCGGTGGAGGCAACAACTGCGTATCATCCTGCCGAGCGGCCGATTGATTCTGGTGCATTATATTTTGTCGGTTCTGATAAAGATGATTCGGGAGTAAGGACGGCGGCGGCATCGACGTGTTAATTGTGCCGCCGTCCGGCGTCATTATCAGGGCGTTCCCCGCCGGGTACATTTGATACTGAGATTGCTGAAACTGTTGTTGATAGTACTGCTGATACGCGGGATCATACATGTACCCAGCGGGTGCGCCAAAATGCATCGACGATGGATAGTTAGCGTAAAAATACGGTTCTGCGGCTTGGTCGAGGTAGCCAGCAGCCCCTCTCGCGTCGTATCCGCCAACATCACCGCGAACCGCGGCCGGGGGATGATGGGACTGATGGGACTGATGGGAATGATAAGGAACCTGATGATGTTGATGATCGCGGCCACCACGGCCGTTATCGTAATTGTCACGCTGGTAGTGACCACCGGCGCTACCACGCTGACCGGCAGCCGCGTGATGTGGTGGTGGCGGAGGACCGCGACCGTCGTAATGTTGACGGCCGCCTCTACCACGTACCTTATTATTGCTGCCGGAGTTATAATGTCTGCCGTTCTGCCGTTCTCCAGGTCGGTGGCTCTGGCCGTAACCCGTTGCGGGTATCATCACCGTCTGCTTCTTTGTTGTAGGCAGCGAGGAACTGCTACCGAGGATCACCGAACTGTTGCCGGTCATCTCGACGAAACGCTTCCGAGTCGTTGGTTCGTTCGTGGATAATTCGGAAGAAAATTGGGCAGAGGCGCTCGAACCGTTCGTCGACGACGATGACGGCGGTTGCGCGGAACTCCTGGAAATACCGTCAGTACGTATTTTGATCTTTAGCGAACCCTGTACCACTGGCAGCTGCGCAGGCGAATTAGGCACATTGTCGTTGCCCTTGAGTCGTTCCTTCGGAATCTTAATCTTCAAGCCCGTGCCCTGCGGCGATATGTTCTTATTCTCCGACAAACTAGAACCTGCGCTAAGCATAGTGGACGATGTTTCCGTGCTCAGGTTCAACTTGTCCTTGGGGATCGTGATCTTAATGGGCGCCGCCGCCGGTGTTTCCTCGCTTCTTTCCTTTTTCTCCCGGTGCCTCTCCTTGTCCTTGTCCTTGTGTTTATGCTTATGTTTCTCTTTACTCTTCTCTTTATCTTTGTGCTTGTGCTTTTCCTTCTTCTTCTTCTTTTCACTCTTGTGATGTTCAGATCGCTTCTCTTCAGTCGAGGGAATTACCATCTGAACTGATCCGGAAATTGTTGGCATTGCCGGTTCTGCCACATTGTTATCGCTATTTGGCAGCATCATCGGCACACTGTCGGAAAGAACACTGATATCAACCGTTGAGGCTATTGACGTGAAATTATCACTCATGGTCGATATAGACAAGCAAGGAGTTGTCACTGGCAGCTGATGATCCATCAACGAATGATGAATAGATTGTTGCTGATGTTGCTGTAGTTGTTCCTGGTGCACTTGCTGAGAAGGTATTTGACTAACCTGTTGCAGGCCCTGCAACAGCGACGGCATCGGCGCCAATGGTTCTTGAAGTAATGCACTTATACTCTGCGCGGATTTAATCGGCGACAAGTATTCGAGTTTCGGCTGCAAGTGAGAATGCAGCGACAATTCCGAAGGCCTGTGCCCCGATTGATCCTTCTCTGTGTAAAACTCCAAGAGCTCCCTTTTCACACGTTGTTCCGGAAATTCGTGCTTTATCACATTAAGATCCATACCGTTTGTCAGCGTGTGCACATTTAATGACGAGATTTTTTGCTGCGCAATCGCATTGAAACGCGGCGGATCCGAGTCGAACGGTTTTATGAGTTCCGGCGGCTTCAAATCATTAATGACAGACGATGCGCTGCTGCTTCTGTTATTAGACGTTGACGGATTGTCGCGTATTGGTTGTATCAAGTCGGGTACGCGACCGAGCATCTTCATCGCCTCCAGACTGGATGTATCTTCCATTTTCTTCTCGGTTTTTTTCACAGACTGCTCACTCTCACCAATACTCGACGTACGAGCTCTCTTATGCACGAATGTCACCCCATCGTTGGAGGATGACCGTTTCATCGCTGATGTGTCTTGCGAAGTCGGGGAATTTGCAAACGGCGACACGCGTTCCTTCACCTTTGTAGCTGCGGAGAGTGGCTTTTGCTTTGATTTAGGCCTCGCACCACCTTGAATATGCGATTCTCTGGGGGTGGTTGGCGTCTCTGGACTAAAGAGTGATTTGTGCTTACCAGGCGGTGTATGCAAGTGCGAGCTCTGCTGCATGTCGACGGAATTCCTCTCAGTGGGATCCTCGTGCGCAATTGTTCGCGGTCGCTTCTCCGATTTTGGATCGTCCATGTTATTCAAATTCAGACAAGACTGGGAATTGCCATTTTTGATGGTGTCCTTGAGAATCTGGGATACACCCTGTGCAGTATGCTGATTGTACATTTGCGCCTTAGCAGGCGCAGACTTTTGCGTCACCTGTAACGACGAAGCGCTCGGCGATATATCCTGAGAAAGCGCATTCTGACCGATCATCGCCACGTGCTTCGTATCGCTCGTTAATGAACTATTTTGCGACTTGTCCTGCTGCTGATTGTATTTAGAGTGATGCGCCTGCTGTTTCTGCTGCGCATTCATCAGATACGGCATGTCCTGCTTCGGCGGCGGCAACGGTTTCTCGATCAACTTCCGTACTTCCTCGCATCTTTGTTCCAACGTTTCTGTCTTTCGTCGTTGATTCTCGATTCTATTTATATCTTGATACTTGGCAGATTTGAGCCGTGGATCCTCTCCTCGATACAACCTCTTATCATGCGCTTGATGTTTGCTATCGAGTGCGTTCAGTCTATGTCCACTATGGTTGTTGTTACTTATTTTCTCTTGTAAACTACCATATCCCGAAGAATCTTGCGTGACGTTGCTGGCGTCCGATCTATGAGACACAGATTCGGACAAAGAACTGTCTAAGTTGGCATGAGCGTGTGACGAATGCACGATACTGGCGTTTGTGCCTGTTGCACCAGTATTATGCTCTCTCGACAATCGTTGCCTATTGGAATCGCGATTAGGTTCTCTAGGATGACCACTGGCGGAATGTCTCTGTGGCACCGGTTGACCAACCTTCATGTCTGGTCGATGATGATGATTGTGATGAAGGCTCGTGCTCTTTTGCACCGGCATCTGATGCTTGCTCGGCACGCTTACATTCGACATGGGCTTGTGATGATGCGAATGGTGAGGAGGCTTGTTAGGATCGGCAATATGGCATCCAATCGCCACGGCTGCCGCCGCCTTTTCTCGCTCCAAACGCTCACGTTCCTTCTTCTCACGGTATTCTCGATAATCCATCGTCGTCGCTCTCGACGTCGATATTCCTGCGGTCCCGGTTTTTTTCTCATCCTGTTTCTCGTGTTGCGTGTGATGAGAGCGACTCGAATGACCGACTGCGACAGCACCGTCCGTCGTATGATGAGAAGAACGACTTGAATGAGCGACGGCGCCGTCCGCCGCGTGATGAGAGCGACTCGAATGAGCACTGACAGCAACAGAGGCGGTAGTGGTAGAAGTGGAGGTTATGCTGTCTGTTGTATGATGGGATCGATTCGAATGAGCAGCAGCGGAAGCAGTGTGGGCACTACTATCCATCGAGTGATGAGAACGAATTAAATGAGCGACGGCAGCAGCAGCACTGTCAGCCGGCACTGCCGGAGATTGTATTCTACGCGGTTCGGTATCCTATCGAAAAGGAAAAACGAGTTAGAATCTGCCCATAGAACACCAGACTAGAAAAATATTTAATTCATAATATCGCGCAAGATTAAACGGGGAAAAAAAAAGAAAAGAAAAGCATAACGAGATTGTTCATAGAATCTTATGTATGAATTACTTACAAATGGGGAATTTGGTAAACTTGGATGATGAATGCTTGGACTCTGACTTGCAGAAATACTCATAATTTTCCTTTTCAATCTTGATGGACACTTGTCGAATATGTGCAAAAACTCGTCTGTCAATTCTTGAAGTAAGTCTGCAGTTACAGTTTTGTCTACGTACCAGAACCATTGCCTTCCTTCAGTACTTTGAGGTATCTGTATGTAAAAAAGAAAAAGTATCTGTTAGAAAATCATATAAGTCAACGTAAGAGTGAGAAAAATTAAAACAGACATAGACCGACAAATTAACAAAGATAAGTATAATGAATATGACATCGATTGTTACAATATTCATTTGTATTACTTTCAGATTATTCCGCATAAATTTGCGTACATACTTATGAAATATATAGCTCTCTTACCTCCCAATTTGACCATTTACATGCGAGATGTATACAAAAGCAGGCGACAACTGTGGGCTTATATTGCAGACACATTGTCGTCAAATGTAAACTGAAAAGAAATACTCGTATAAAAAATAATGCATAACTTATAATTATAAGATTATTATTTAACAGCTATACAAATTTGCAAATCAAAACATAAATGCTCTCTTGCGACACAATGATATGCGTTAAGCCTGTATACAGTTTTAGTAATATTAGGAAGTAATATGCATTACCTGTTAGATGCCATAAAGTATGATGTTTGAGCTAATTCTTTGCTTGCTAAAATGAAAAGATTACACAATTCAATGTAATTGAAACAAAAGTGAAATGCTGGAAAGGCACAAGAATTTAATTTGTACCTTTCACTAATTGACAGCATCTGACAACATGGGTGTGTGGATGATCAATGGCAACATCAAACCCTAACGTCTGTAGAAGAGCATTTTCATTGAACACCAAATCTTGAGCTTGTTCAAGAAATTGCTGTAAGTAAAATGCATTATTATAAGATAATATTCAGAATAGATAAAATGTGATTTAATTATAAATTAGTATCATTGAAACTTACCTCGGATCTACTGTCAGGTGGTGGTTGGTCTCTGTGGAGACACATGTATGCCATTTTGATAACATGTTCTAATTTCCTTGGCTGTTCTTCTACTTTTGCTGCTAAAAAAAGTGACGCCACAGCAATAGCATTCCTGTGAAACTGGGTTAGTGAATGGAATACGTAAAACCTGTGCATGTAGACTATAGCTGTGTTGATACATAATTGTGATCTACGTTTTGTAAATTAAGGAAAACATTTCATTTTCATAGAATTTATAGACATTGAAAACTGCTAGAATATTCATGGAAATACTATAAAATTGTATAATTTGTTTAGCACAGAACAATTAGAAATTATACAATTATTATCTTTATATTCTTGATTAGTGGTACAAGTGCGTTAAATAATATTACGACAATATTTATTATATCCTCATATAATAAGCACATTCTCCAAAATTTATATAAATTTTAATTATTAGTACTCTCAGAATATTATACAGTTGTTAAAAAATAATTATAATATACACTATCCTTTATAGAATATCGCATTAAAAAAAATGAATAAATAAAAAAGATCTGCATACTGTTTTTATTGGAATGCAACTGAATATAATTGCAAAGTATATTATTATGTCTATCAGAATATACACGACAAATTTGTTTTCAATTTGAATCAATATACTAAATAAAACAGTTTGCAACATCTTTTTTTAATGCAAGATTATATATATATGTATATATATATGATTATATTGTACATGACAAAATATTTTCATCGAAATGTTTAAAAGATTTTACATAACTAGATATTGTAAACGATCATTTTTTTGCGCAATTCAATATATAAAATCTAATAAAAATATGTAGCAATATTTTCAATACGTAGTACTATCTCTGCAGGATAATTCATAATGTATACAGATACAATTAATAAATAAAAAGATGGTCCAATCGCAATATTCTCCAAATTCGAAAAACAATATAAAAAAATTCTTTAGAGAAAACTTCTTTTTAAATTTAGAAAAAGAAATAAAAACAATAAGAAAAAATATAGACTATATTTTTCTATTGCTACGTTTTTACGAACATGATACAATTAATTCATTCAAATGGTAAGATTAGAAAATAGAAAGGTACAATAGTTTAGAGGTGTAAAAAGAATTTATTTAGTTTTATTTTCAGATTACATTCACACATGTCAATTTCATGAAATGTGTCAACAATTTTGTTTATATTTTTTCCTAATAATAATTTAGCGTATGATAGGATCTGATAACAATTCTGCAAAGTTTACTGAAATATTAATATACACCATTAACATATAATCACTAGAAAAGAAGTTCAAAGTGTAAAGAAACAAAAACATTAATATCTTTTAACAATCTTTTTAGCTAAATATATTGAAAAATAACAACTGCTTTTTGCATGATGTAGGTGAATAAATATAGTTGACGATTGGATTCTGAAAAATTCTAAAAATCCATTATAAAGATCCGAAATAAAAATAAATAAGTTTTTCACATATTTCCAAATCTATTCTGACACATTGCGTAATGACCTGCAAAGATAGTACTGCGTTAAAACTTAACGTAAGTAATATTTAACGTTTCTATGTTTCTACACACGCCTAGAAAATAAAAATTCAAATCTTATTACCGTGACGACATGAAATACTTGGGTAACATGAAAATATCAATAGATATATATGAAATTTGTAGTTTATATTACTATCAAATTCGATTCAGTAAGGATAATATTTGACCTTTCTTTACTTTCTTATCAATCAGTATTCTCCATTATTTTTTGGTTACCAATCAAACAATACACACACATACACGTGTTTCGAGTAGTGTGACACGAGTCTCATGTCTTCGATTAACAGAGTTTCCTCGTGCGAAATAAATTTTTCTCTTTTTGTCGTCGTAGAAATTTGCATGAATGATCGTTTACGATACCTGTAATGCACGAAATTCCAATATGGTGAATCCACTGTTCCCGTCCATTCATCGTGTCAAGAGACCGCTCGACACGTGTCTAGGATTTACGGCAACGCGACAAGAAATCTCATTTCGTGTTTTTTTTTTTTTTTTTTTTTTTTTAATGCGATGTCAGAATTAAATCAACGACGAAAAAGATTATCTACGAAACGACACGAGAGGCGGGGAAGAAATGTTACGAGAAGCGAGGAAGAACGCAAGCAAACATTTGCACGTATAAAAAAGGATACACCACGAGTCTTTGTCCCATATCCTGGATGAAATTGGCCGCCTGCTGCCGATAGCTCAGCTCCTTGTCCCCGTCGATGCCGAATCTTCTGCTCGGCGTGCTTGCAAGCTGCTCTCTCGTAAAGTACCATCGTTCGTCAGCCGCCATTTATATGTACACACAATTCACTCGAGATCGAGTAAACGATGCACACGATTCACGCGATCGTGTGAATATGGACTAGCGGGGAGGGGAGATGCGGCGAGGGGGAGTTTCGAAGACGAGCACTCGATATAAGCACTACTAAAGTCACGTCCCGTCGTCTAATGTCACGTCGCTCGCTCGAGCGATCCAAAATGGCGCCGTAGTGGTATAAGAAATCGTAAACACTGCAAAAAACCTAGTTCTTGCTCGCGAGAGAGAAATTTTCGCAATGAAAAGAATTTTTTTCTCACAAATTGCGTTTTTTTAGTTTCACACCACGTGATACGTATAAACTACTAATTCGACTAACGAAAAGTTAGAAATCCCTGGCAACTTGTCGCGCCATTGCTTTCCAATCGTATCACCTTGCTCGTTCCTCCCGCGAACGCATGCAGCAATTAATTACGACAGGAGCACCGTCGTTAAACGAACGTAACGTAAGGCATGAATTCCCTGTAATTATCGATTCGCGTTTATGAAATGCGGGATGATGGAGAATGCACTCTCATAACCTCAGCCGCACTTCGTCGAGACGGCGCATCGTCATCGGGTTCTCCTCCCTGCAATCCCGACGTGACAACGTAACGCTGATGATCGAAGATGTATCGGTCGCATTACACGTTGCGTAACTCGTGGACGAACCGCATCGTCGAGATCACGTCGTCGTCGTCTTCCTCCTGCACCTCCTCCTCCTCTCTTATTTCTCTTCTTTTAGGAATGTTCGTCCCCGCGAGTCCTCCTCTGACGACTCGGGTTTCGGGTTTCGTCGCCACTCGAAGGTAGCGCGACCGCGGTCGAGCGTACGCGCTTTCCGACGTGCACCTAGACTATTGGACACATTTCACGAACATCGTAAAAACGTATCTAGATAAACTTGCAAGATACGAACCAATCAAACGTCTGATTCGAAGGACGCCATATTGCTACCTTCTTCGGACTAGTCGCGTGATTGGTTGATCTTTCGCATGTCACATGACTACTATGGCTGCGATCCGGAAGACGCTAGAGATGCTTCGAAGCATTTCTAGCGTCTTCCCGACCGCAGCCTATGCACTTCATCCGGTTAAATCCCTTATGGCGACATTTTCAGATCGGATACACATCGTGTTTAAATATTCATGCATCGTGACTGGTGATATCGAAAATAATTTGGCATTTTCTATCAAACTATTTATTATATAATCGCCAATTATAATCTCAAAACCAACAACTATAATATAACGTGTGAATATTCCAGAGACACGATATTCATCAGACTCGAAAATATCTAAAAACCGAAAACGACCCAGGTAGCAGAAGTAGTTTTGTGACGTCATAATGACGTCAAAATGGCTACATTTGCTACTTGAAAATAGCTGCATTTTTGCACCAAACATGCGTGGATAAAGATAGTAAAAATAGCTATTTTGACGTTATTTTGACATCAAATTAAGTCAAAATAACGTCAAAAAGATTACCTATTACTTTTGCTACCTGGGTCAGTCATACACACATGAAATGATTTAAATATATAATTAAATAAATAATTAAAATAATTAATTAGTTATTGTTTTTAAAAGTAATATATTAGAAAAATCCAATTAATAATAAGGAAAGTTATAGTTTCTATACATATATTTTCTTTAAATATTCTAGTAAATTGAAGATTATATAGGTTTGTACTTTATAGTTGAACTAGTGATGTGCATTAAAAATGAAATTGATATATACTTATATTTAGAAATTAGAGAGAAAGAAAGAAAAGACAGAAAGCACAAAATCAATTTTGCAAAAATTTCATAAAAAATTGTACGTTTGATTTATTTGTTACGTTACGTTCAATTCGTTCCAAGCGCATGTACTTTCTTTAACTTTTGCTTTGTGCGCGTAAAAAATGCAATATATATAATTATTTTTATACTCACCCTTTGAAAATCCTTTTGAAAATTTGATTTTTTGTCGGCAATGCAAAAAAAATTGGAATTTTCAGGCAAAATCGTACTTATAACGTCGTCTTACACGCACACTATTACTTCATCCTGCTTCATCCAAGAATACAGAGAGCAAGATTTTGTATTTTTTCACCCTCTTGTCTTTAGGGCTGAGTTCCCTTTGTGCTGTAAATGCTGAAGGTTTGGCTGACCAATCAAAATAAAGCACTCTTTGTTCCGATTGGCTAATCAAAGGTTTCTAGTATTTACAGCGTCAAATGGAACGCAGCCTAGAGGGCCTTGCAGGTTGCAGGCTGTCGGATTGTAAAGCTGTATATATAGGGTCTTTTTCGCGCACTTGTATTATTAAAGGCGAAAACTTGGATGGAATATATGTGCCGGAGCCAATAGATTATTTTAGAATGATTAGAATAAATATATAAAGATAAGAGCTAATATTAATATATATTATTTAGTAATTAAATATTTATGTAACAGAAAACGAGGAAAGTAAAAATGTTTAGAGATAAAATAAAAATTACTTACTCTATTAATTTTAATCTATCGACTTTGTCGACAAATATAGTCCATCAAAGTTTTCCCCTTAATAACGCACGTCGCATACATCGCTGCATTTTTTACGGCGGTGCACGGAAGGCTTTAGCACTCGAGACAGCCAAAAGTCATTAAGGTGAATGCATTTCCAAGAATCTTCAATGACTTCCATGAACAATAGATCAGGTGAAAGTTAAGAAAAAAACAAAATTCATTTATCATCGCCAGAAAAACGGTTTTTTCCACGGTTTTCATTAGAAAAATATGTTTGTGAGCACGACTATATAGATGAGTAATTGTGAGTATATATTTTAAAGAAAACGGTACTGATTGTAAAATTTATTTAATAAATTATTTTTCGTTAAATTGTAGAAAAAAAATGGTTTAAAATTTTTCGATTTATTTTTTATCAAGAAATATTGCCTTGTATTTTATAATGAGCACAAATTAATTAACATGTACATGTATTATATAGTATTATAGTAAAATATATATGTATATTTTTTGTATATGTGCGTACGCATGTACGGATATTTCTCATTCGGTCTTATTCTTACCTGACCTTTTCTTTGACAAATTGCTGGGGAAGATTTATGAGGCAGCTTTGAAAAAGTAAATAATAAACTTGCTCTGTTCCGTTTTGTTTTCAAGGTGACAGGCACTTTCTTATCTTGTTATATATCTGCCCGTTTTGAACAAGGCATTATTTTTCAGTGAATTTTAATATATATACTAATTTTAATATATATAAAAAGAGATAACTAGATTAGGGATTATTTTTCTGTCTCTATCTAGATTAATTTTCAACAATCTAAATTTATTTTTAACGGTTTTCATGTTCTTTTCTAGAAACATCTATAGTTTATTAATCTAGCAAATTTTATTAATGTAAATATAAATTTATATAAATTTTTTTTAAATGTGCTTTGTGATGATGAAACAATATATATTTTATTGTATATTAGGAGCGTTTGATTGACCAATTGTTTTCTTGTTCCACGCTCAATAATTATAAACACTTCAAAATATTTAACTTTCAAATAGAATATATGCGTGCACCCTGAATAATATGTAACTCCAATCTGAAGTAAGTTGCGTTTTATTCAAAAGAATAAAATCATAATTAACTTGTTGTCAATTTCCGGTCCATTGTTTCATCTTTTCCGTTTGCCGAAATTTACACATACACACACACACACACATTGATTTACATATGTTCCCTAGTTATTTTCACGATCAAGAGTTTATAATAGTTCCTTCCCCTCTTTCTCTCTCTCTCCCCCTTCCTTGTCACCCTCATCTTCTCCCTCTTTCTTTTGTATAGTGTTATACAGCATGGAGGTTAGGTGGCGTCGACGATTCGACGATATACCGTTGCCGTCAAATATTCTTGAGTACTCTGTTCAAAGGTTACTTTATCCGGAGCACAGTAAGTTCTATTTGTATTTAATTGATGTTGAGAATTAGTCACGTGTCGGGAAAACGGCTGTCATTATCTCTATGCATTTCGCTGGAGATAATAGTGAGAGATAACGAGGTTTTCTTTTCCAAGTTTGAAAATTTTTGTTGAAAAAGAAACAGATTTCCTTCGACATCTCGGTAAGATGGCGGACGTACATACTTGTCTTTAATTTTCACTGTACTCTTATCACGAATATATTCGTATTTTTCGACGCGTAAGAGAGAGACGACATAATATAATATATAATAATTTAGAATCTGTCAGCTTTCAAGTTGATAGGTTACAGAGCGAGAAGGAGTAATTACACAAAATACTTTTCTCAAGAATATAAATATAATGTTATGAGGCATTAAAATAATTTTTTTTTAATTTACCATCGATTGAATAAACACACGCGTAATTGTAATATAATTCATAATATATCGTTAATCCATTTATTATTAAAATAATTTATCGAAGCATATTTATTATGAATATGTCAACATATTGCATGAATCATGTAGAAAAAATCTAGCAATGTATCGTGTAGATTCGCAAATACTATCTTTCCATGTGTTTTTGCTTTTATCTCCAAGACAATTGGCTCCAATCAAAATTGTTTATTATAGTTAGCAAAGATAAAGGTAAAATAGAGATAAGGAGTGTTTATATAACAATCATTAACAAGAGAAATTAAATGATGTGATCTGAGAAACTAAATGTTTATACTTGATAGAATTAAAGTTGCACATTTTATAAAATATTTAATTACAATTATAATTTACTTCTCCCATTTTATTAATGTACAACTTTCAACATTTTTAATTGAAAAGAATGCGTCTATGAATCTTGGTTTGACATCTTTTTATACATTTTATTTTTATCATCTTTATTTATTATCTTTCTTTTATTATAGTAACAAGGTATGTTTCGGATACCAAAGTCTACAATGCCTACATCTACTGCATCAACAGTTACAAAGCGTCCAAAACAGATCCAAAATTGTCTCTATGCATCCTACGAATGCACGCAACCATGCCTAGAAGGATACTCGTATTGCGCTAAGCATATTCTCGAAGATTCCAGTGCCCCTTATAAACAGTGCGCTTTTGTATACAATACCAGTGGAAGAAAATGTCAAAATCCAGCCCCAAAATTGGATAGGAGGGATATCTCGTAAGTATACTCTTATATCTAATAAAATATAAATTATAAATCTTGTTTTTTAGAAAGATTAACAGCTGTACTGTATTAAATTTTCACAGATACTGTGGTGAACATTCTAGAAAAGCGCAAATTGCGCGAATTAAATCTATGTCGCGACGTTCTTTGCCACAAACACCCGAGATGCTACTGCTTAATTTAAGCCATTATGCCAAGCCCATCGATTCTAGTGCCGAAGATACAGAAGATGAAAGAAGAAAAATTAGAGCTCTGGATCCTTTCAGTGAGCATTACATGATTTCAAATTATCTTCACTATATATTTTTATACCTTGATTTCTTTAAATATTCTATCGAGACTTATTTTTACTCATTCATTCTCAAAAAAGTACTTTACACTTTTTTTACTTTTATATTATATTTACATAAGCAATTTACACTTACACTTTACAAAACACTTTTGGAGTTTTTGTAATAAATTTTCTCTACAAAATATAAAAGTTTTTACATTCTGTTTTTTTTTCTTTTTTTTTCTTTTTTTTTCTATGCACACATTGATTTACATATGTTCCCTAGTTATTTTCACGATCAAGAGTTTATAATAGTTCCTTCCCCTCTTTCTCTCTCTCTCCCCCTTCCTTGTCACCCTCATCTTCTCTCTCTTTCTTTTGTATAGTGTTATACAGCATGGAGGTTAGGTGGCGTCGACGATTCGACGATATACCGTTGCCGTCAAATATTCTTGAGTACTCTGTTCAAAGGTTACTTTATCCGGAGCACAGTAAGTTCTATTTGTATTTAATTGATGTTGAGAATTAGTCACGTGTCGGGAAAACGGCTGTCATTATCTCTATGCATTTCGCTGGAGATAATAGTGAGAGATAACGAGGTTTTCTTTTCCAAGTTTGAAAATTTTTGTTGAAAAAGAAACAGATTTCCTTCGACAACTCGGTAAGATGGCGGACGTACATACTTGTCTTTAATTTTCACTGTACTCTTATCACGAATATATTCGTATTTTTCGACGCGTAAGAGAGAGACGACATAATATAATATATAATAATTTAGAATCTGTAGCTTTCAAATTGATAGGTTACAGAGCGAGGAGTAATTACACAAAATACTTTTCTCAAGAATATAAATATAATGTTATGAGGCATTAAAATAATTTTTTTTTAATTTACCATCGATTGAATAAACACACGCGTAATTGTAATATAATTCATAATATATCGTTAATCCATTTATTATTAAAATAATTTATCGAAGCATATTTATTATGAATATGTCAACATATTGCATGAATCATGTAGAAAAAATCTAGCAATGTATCGTGTAGATTCGCAAATACTATCTTTCCATGTGTTTTTGCTTTTATCTCCAAGACAATTGGCTCCAATCAAAATTGTTTATTATAGTTAGCAAAGATAAAGGTAAAATAGAGATAAGGAGTGTTTATATAACAATCATTAACAAGAGAAATTAAATGATGTGATCTGAGAAACTAAATGTTTATACTTGATAGAATTAAAGTTGCACATTTTATAAAATATTTAATTACAATTATAATTTACTTCTCCCATTTTATTAATGTACAACTTTCAACATTTTTAATTGAAAAGAATGCGTCTATGAATCTTGGTTTGACATCTTTTTATACATTTTATTTTTATCATCTTTATTTATTATCTTTCTTTTATTATAGTAACAAGGTATGTTTCGGATACCAAAGTCTACAATGCCTACATCTACTGCATCAACAGTTACAAAGCGTCCAAAACAGATCCAAAATTGTCTCTATGCATCCTACGAATGCACGCAACCATGCCTAGAAGGATACTCGTATTGCGCTAAGCATATTCTCGAAGATTCCAGTGCCCCTTATAAACAGTGCGCTTTTGTATACAATACCAGTGGAAGAAAATGTCAAAATCCAGCCCCAAAATTGGATAGGAGGGATATCTCGTAAGTATACTCTTATATCTAATAAAATATAAATTATAAATCTTGTTTTTTAGAAAGATTAACAGCTGTACTGTATTAAATTTTCACAGATACTGTGGTGAACATTCTAGAAAAGCGCAAATTGCGCGAATTAAATCTATGTCGCGACGTTCTTTGCCACAAACACCCGAGATGCTACTGCTTAATTTAAGCCATTATGCCAAGCCCATCGATTCTAGTGCCGAAGATACAGAAGATGAAAGAAGAAAAATTAGAGCTCTGGATCCTTTCAGTGAGCATTACATGATTTCAAATTATCTTCACTATATATTTTTATACCTTGATTTCTTTAAATATTCTATCGAGACTTATTTTTACTCATTCATTCTCAAAAAAGTACTTTACACTTTTTTTACTTTTATATTATATTTACATAAGCAATTTACACTTACACTTTACAAAACACTTTTGGAGTTTTTGTAATAAATTTTCTCTACAAAATATAAAAGTTTTTACATTCTGTTTTTTTTTCTTTTTTTTTCTTTTTTTTTTCTATGCTGCTACAAATTTGCAAACTATATTGCATAAACTATATTGCAAACTTAAATGAAAACATCAACAAGTTATTGTTTTCAGCCGAAGTTGATGCTTACAGAGTAAATGCAAGTGGGAGTGACATCTTAGATTATGCCAGTTCGTCAGAGAGTGACGTCGAACCTACAGTTGTCAATGATACTCTGAGAGGGGTTTATCTTGATGACAGCGACAATGAAAGTTTACACAGTCCACAGGAGGATCCTCTAAAGTAAGTATATGTCATAACTCTATTGCATGTGTTAATTGTTTTGAAAATTACAATATCATATTAGAATATCTGCTAGCATGCTTCAGCTTGTGCAATTTCTAAAAAGATCATTTGTTTTTTTTATTATTTTATATCCATAATTTTAGAACCTATTTTTAAATTATATTGATTATGCATTTGATTTTGGGGCATTTTATTGTTAAAAATATTACAATCCAAAATATCTTTATTGTTTTAACAGCAGATTATAATAAAAATCCCTAAATTGCTGTTATTTTATAAAAAAAATTATAGTCATTGTGCGATTTTAAATTGAAAGTTTCTCAAAATTAAAAGATAATAAAGATATTTTAAATTTTTGTTTAAGTTTGTAAAATCTTATAAATTATAAAGATTGTTATAATAATATATATATTTATATATAACAGAATACTTTTGTGATTAAGAGATTGATTGTTTTTTATTTGAATTATTATAACTCTACTAAATTTTTCATATGCTTTTTATGTTTCTCCTTAAAATAAAAAGGACCCGTGTTTGTATTCATATAATTTCGTTGTAGTTGTGCTTTGCGCAAAGATAAGATACTGCTTACTCTCCCAATTGTTAGTATCAATTTTTTAAGGCACGCTGGTATTTTTACCGCGGAAGAAGTAGTCTATATCGCAAGAGAGAAATTGATTAGGCTCCAGTCCCTTTACATTGATCAATTTAGAAGACTGCAGTATATATTGAGGGAAAAAAGACGAAAATATCTGCTTGCTCTGAAGAAAGAAAAGGAAACATTTTGTAAGTAGGCTTCAAGTGATATCAGAATTTTGTCACACTTATCAATAAATGAATAAAATTACATTTAAAAAATATATAGGTAGTATACATGATCAGACCAAGGAGACTGCGAAAGAGAAGAAACTTTACGAAAAGTTAAAAGCTTTAAATCGTTATCACAGACGAAGTGGGGCTGAAGCAATACTTTATAGGAAATCATTAGAACGTCGCGCACAGGTAATATTCATGACTGAATGTCATTATTAATATCTGTATCAACTGCACAACAAAAAAATAATAATATGTTTCAGGTAACTGAGCCAACTCAGAAACCGCCAAATATGTCCAAGTGCGTGTTTACTGAAGGTGGCGTGAAATGCGGTGAAAGAACTCTTCCATCGGCTAAACATTGTCGCAAACATATTCTAAAGGTACATATGTATACATATACATTTATATTACGTTTTAGTAAGGACCATATAATTAATATAATTTTAATGTATCATTTTTTATTCCATCGCTGAACATAATAGGACCAACATCAAGTTTTATTCAAAGCATGCGGAGCGGTACGGGCGGATATAGAGTGTCACGAACCTGTGCCCGTTATTTTCGATTCTAACTGTGTTTTTCATATGAACTTGCCGCCGTCGTGTAAACTTGAGCCTATGAAGGTACATTATGAATATCTCATTAATTGAATATCTCTATAATTACTTGAAACAAATTATTCCCGAGTATATTCTATATATAATTTATTTTTATAGTGTGAAGAGGAGAAGCTTACAACGCGGGAAGTGCCAATAATTGACAATCAATCGATGGACATCGATGTAGTGGGCGAGGCGCAAGAAATCGATCCTGACGACGATATGGCAGGATTGATGAGAGAAATGAATGACTCCGCTCATATAAAACCATCGTTTGCAAACGAGAGTTTAAACAGCGAGACTAGTACGGACACCGCGTTCAGTTTATCTGCGCAGATGAGTGATCGGGACGATTTCGTTACCGTATGACAAAATATTTTTCTGTGATTTTTAAATTGCAATGTCTGTTAATTTATCGTTGTTCGATTGATAAAAATTATCAGGGATAATTTGCTGAAATGCTTTTCCCTGTTTATTATACTCGTGTGTAGTATCGAAATTTTCTCGCTCGAATACAGAGTGATTCCAACAACAGCATAATTTATTTTCACATGTAACCGTTTATATCGAATACTATCAATTGTTAATATTTGTACATAATATGAGAAAATTAGAAAGAGATCATACATATGGATAATATAGTTAAAAATTTTAACATGTATTTAATTATTTTAATAGATGGAAATATTATTAAAGTGTCAATAATATTAATTTAAATTTATAATGTATTGGCAAACGTGATTAACAAACTCAAGATTTATGAAAATAATTCATATTCTATTGTACAATAGAAATTTCATGAATAATTTCTTTTATATAAGAATGTACAAGAAAATATATCTTTAATAATCTAATTTAGGGAAACGAAAACAAATTAGTCTTTTAATTTTATTATTATTTAAATAAAACAATCAACTTTCTATTTTCTATAGATGAGTTCCCCTCTTAATCATTTTCATCATATGAAATATGCCCCACATTCTAGAGCTGTTAATACTAAGAGATACTTAGGATATTAATCTGTTATTTAATTATTTCAAGTACTATATAAATAAAAAAGATACATTTGAAGACTAGTGTTAACAAAATCACACATTTAAGCTTTCTTTTAATGTAATAAAATGCAACTTGTGTTATAAATAACATCTTAGCAATGTAATTTAACTGTGGCAGTTGTATGAACAAAATTGCAAAAAGAACGCTTTACATTTTTACATTTTCTATAAAAATAATCACAATAACTTATTATTGGATATGTAATATTAATACTATAGACACAAATAATATATAAAAGAAATTTAAAATGTATATGGATGGAATTTTGACAAAATAGCAATAATTTTTAAAAAGTCAATATATCATAGCAACATACAATTTTTTTACAATAATACATTTTAAATGTTTTCCAATATGCATGTGATCTTAATGATTATAAAATCAAAGTGATGACATATGAAAAAAATTGAATTTTTTACTATTTTAATACGCAATTGTATAAAATTATTATTAATATATAATTATCATTATTACCATTAATTATTATTATCGTTATTATTAATATTTGGTGAAAATAACACTCGTGTGTTGTAAATTTGTAAATTACATAAATGTAAGTTTAAAATATTGTCATGTATGAGATATCTTTCTTAAGCAATATTGACTCATCAGGCAACTCTATTCAGACTATACAGCGCACTTTTATCCTTTTTTTTTTTTCCTTAAAAATATATAACAAGACAAAAAATTCTTTTTATCATATATGATTTACTTAAACTGGGGTAGTATTCAGATTCTCATGATAATGTGGATGTGTATATGTGTACAAGGATATATATTAATATATGTGTATGCATATATACACACATATTAATACATACATTACTTATTGTTAGTAAGTATGTTATGCAAAATTATCACAAATTTGTTGCAAACTAACAATATAGTCATGTACCATGTATCATTATCTATATCGGACAATTGATAATGAGAAATATTGGATTAAATGTCATTGTCACGTATGTATAAATTTGTGTAGTCTACACAAAATTTGTAAACTTTCATCTGTGAAACATAATACTGTAGACATTACATCAGTATTGTACATCTAACAGTACATATATGTGAATTAATGAAAACTTAAGTTAAAATGACTATTAATTTTGTATAAAGAAGGAAATTTGCCATTTGTTGCTTTTAAAATTATCTAGTATATCTACGTTTTTTGGCAATTATTTACCTAGTTACTAGATAATTCCAAAATTTTATCTGAATACAATGTAAAATAATTTCTGCACACTGCATTTTACAATTTCTATCTAAATTTCGCAAAATTTTAATGTTGAAAATATTTTTAGTATAATCGCGAAGAAATAATTATTGCAATCTGTAATTTGTTTGACAATTCGATGATTAGTATTCTAATGATAAAAAATTGGACACTTGTTTCTTTCACTGACAATTCTAAATCGGATATTATTGACCTATCTACATTGTGATGTAATTTGTAACCTTCCCATTACGTTCTTTCTTTCAAACATTAATGATGAAGAAATAATTATTTTGTAGAAAAGCTACTTTTGTTGCAAACATTAAAGAGCAAACACTAAAGAGCGGCTAGGCATTGAGATTAGATGAAAGAAAAATACAGTAACTCGAACGTAATAGGAAGAAGAAATGTATTTTGTAATATCGATACAACATGATTACAAGAGAAATTACTCGTAAATCTAGTTATCGAAAATGTGCTTAAGATCGTGCTCGTAGGCGGCGATAAGTAACATAATCCCAAGGCCTGTCGATAACCCTAAACCTTGCCAAATGCACTGCCATCGCGAACTACTTTCCGCGGAATGACTCGATGATAGTTCTGGTATCTAAGGAGAAAAAAATATAAATTATATAGGAGCGTTTTCTTACCGAAATTTCTCGAGTTATTTGCAGGATTGATATGAAATTGCAAAGACCAACCATATCTACTAATGCTATGTATATAAATATCCCAGCGGCAGCTGCGAATATCCAGCTGGTCGCGGCGGGAGTATTTCCTAACGATACTCCAAATATCATACCGAATAGACAGAGCACCGAAGATAATACATTGTAAAAAACAGCCTGTTTAGTGCTCATACCCGCTCTTAACAACACTGCAAAATCGCCTGTACAGGAACATTTGTATTATTGCATTATTACATGTACATTTTTTTATGTATATATAATCATAATAATTTGCAGAGGCATTACCAAGTTCGTGAGGCAACTCGTGACAGAGAACGGCGATAGCCGTGGAGAATCCGCCCGCAATGTTCGCCGAGAATGCCGCACCGATAGCCATACCATCTGTGAAATTGTGCAAACCATCCCCCATAACGACCATCCAAGCTACGCTGGACATGGATTCAGGGGCCGAATGTACGTGACCTGGAGAATTTTTAACAGACATGTATGCATTGAATTACTTGCGCGGTTCTTTTATTTTACGTTGAATAATTTTGTTTGTATAAAAGCACATACCATGAGAATGACTGTGGCCATGATGTTTGGTCTCGTGTTCCCGTAAGATAACAGTATAGCTTTCCGATTCGTTTAACGACGCGTTGGCACCATCGGCGTTTTTCTTTGCGTTATTGACAATCGAATCATCCAATCTCCAATCATCCTTTGGTTTTTTCTCCATGTCGTTGGTAATTTTCGTGGAGTTACAATTTGATGTCAACGGTTTCTCTTCCTCGATAATAGGCGGTCTCTCGTGATTAATTTGGCAATTGTGATGATTATCTACATACATTTCTATATTAAGATTACTTCTATTTTTTATCGCGCCATTAGGATAGGTACATTGACGCGATTTTGTATTCTGGTCGAGATGCAATGGTCAGTGCCGCGAGATAATCATGTATTATCTTTGATATATAAAAAGTTGCCTATTACCTTGAGTTTCGCTAGCAATCTCGCCATAACAATACGGATACGATGAATACTTATGTTTACATAGCTTTTCACCGACAACATTACTGTTTGGCCCATCACTCTCTCTCATTACTCGTACACGCGTAGGTAACTATAATTTTATTGCATTAATTTACAATATATAATGCGTGAAATGTAATAAAGCTTCTTCATAATTTACCTTGTTCCGACGTTGTCGACGTTTCCGCCATTCAGCTAATATGATTAATGCTTTCTCGGTGAAGAAAAAGATGACGAGACCCACCATAGCAACTAATCCTTTCCACATGTTTAAACTATGTTGCTCCACATGATTAATTAATAAAGTGTTGCTTTCTTCGTGATGATGATAATGATCATCGTGGTCATGATGTTCATCATGTTCATGATGATGAGGAGGCATCATCGCCTAAATATGCAAAAGAAAGAGATTATTGCATTATTAAAATATTTCTCTATATTTTAAATGTACGTATATCTTGACAATAAAAAAAAACTTGCATGTGGTAATAGATGAATAAGGGCATCACCGGTTAAAGTACCTACGGCCAATGCAACTAGAAACTGTAGCACATGATGATAGTAATTCTTTTTCATAATTGGAATTACTGCTACACCGAGCAATCCACTAAGACTAATTATGAAAATACTAGCTGTTGAATATACCCAGACTGGAATAAGTAAAAGTGACAATCGTATTTATTTAATAGTAAAATTATATAAGAAAAGATTAATCATTGCATTTGAACGTTTATGTCTATATACATATATACTTTCGGTTATATATACCTTTTAAAGTATTGCGCGCTGAATCCTCTGTATAAAACTTATCGACAGACACGACGGGTTTGTAATTTTCGGGTACCCGTATACAACCATTCCTCTCTGAACTGGATTCGGCTGCTAATTGATATACAAGAACCGGGCACACGCGTTCGAAGAGCCAGTCGGGCATTATTGTGGTATTATTAGCGGAAGTATAGTGCATATCCTGTGCGATGATACTCAGCAACTCTTGATTGTTTAAGCACTAAAATAATAAAAGTATTAATCGTTACAAATGTGAGTATTTTAAAGACACACACAAAATTAAATAATTTATAATAATTATAGCTAAGCACAAATATTAAAAGTGATTTCAATAAACAGCTTGTATATATCTCACCCTTTCCTTGTTATTCTTGTTGTCTGCGTCATGTAGGCCGTTATTTGGATAACTCTTACTGTTACCTGTCACATATAAAATTGATTCTCTTGATAAATATTTATACAATTTCTTAATGTACATTATATAATTAAGTTTTGTGCATACTTGTTTCAGTGCCACCACTTTCCAACTCCAATGCATCGGTCAATAATCTCAGTAGACCCAGCTTTCGGATAAGTTTCTCGAAACCTTCCATAGTTATACTCGTTCCATCACCATAGGCCTCGAAAATCTTCTTCATGAAGTACATTTTGTCTACAGCTACATCTCTTTTTAATCTAGATCTAGGATTGGTACGTAAATCTGTACTAGACTTATCTTTTACATTTGATAATAATTCCGGTTGAGCGAGTCGCTTTGAAAGCTCCATGTCTCTCGAATTTACAGATATATCCACGCTCACAATCGACGGCTGCGTATTTCGTACATTCCCACCGCCTTTGAAGTTTTCCGTTATCTCCTCCTTAATAAGGTAAGCATCATGCGATGCAGTTGGTACTGCATTAACGACTACCGGGATATTATTATTATTATTACGATTAACGTATCGCGTACTTTGAAATTTTACAGTGTTGCGTTTATTGTTAACAAAGTTATTCGGATACGAGCTTTGACTCTTTGCGTATGGATGTGATGTATCCTTGGAACTTAGCGTCGAAAATGGTTGTACATTTGGACTCGAGGGATCTCTGGTATTTGTCGAATTGTGCATCGTTGATGATAGATTTGTATGCGCCGAGCAGGGTACGTGTGCGGCGCACAGTACACACACCACGCAGACGGTAACAATATGATGCGACATGATGAATTTCCTAAAAACAGAATACATACTTGTCAGAATATACGTCTCAAACATTTTTTACCGATAATGTGTATGTATCGAGCAAACTTGCTTGGGGAACTAATTTTATATATTTACTAGTTGGACAGAACGCAGGAAAAGGAGTTATCAGTATAAAAGTTATGATAATACCAAGTATAGGCAGATAATGCAACTCGAGTAGTCAAATAATAATAATGATAAGAGCATTTTAATATTTCCATTTCTACATAGTGTATTTCCTTTTATATTGTATATATTTATATTAAATCTAAATTATTAATAAATTAGTACATAATAAATAATAATGAACAGGATATACGTGATGATAAGTGCGCAAACTCGAGTTGTTTTACATATAATTACTTACATGATGATTCCTATTCGCGCCAGCTTTATCGCAATTTAAACACGCCCACAATTGTTCCGCAAACGTCAAGCAATAGTGAGCGCATGTCTTGATAAGGAGCGCGCTTTTATAAACAAATTTTATAGGCAAAACCTTGGTGGGTCATAACGAATATTTAGAAAATTGCTCGACCTTCAATTTCGTTACGCCTCAATGTTCACGTGTCGCGTTAATAATCCGTACGTTAAAGTTAATTATAAGGCCATTTAAAAAAAAAAAGGAAAAAAAAAACAATGTGTCGAATAAGGAGAGAACGGTAAAAACCGAAGGTAAAAAAATCTTAAAAATTTTTCTAAACGTTTTATTTTCGTTGTCTAAGCAAAAAGGCGCTCGATCGTTTATTGATGAACGTATCATCTGTCCGGCGCATTTATTGATAAGTAATCTGCGGCGAATCTTTGGACATAAGCCCGTCTAGCGCCGTAATATCTTATGCAACATGTGCCAGTGTGACTCAACACGCTCTTCTGTCATGTATATATCTAATCTATATCAAAAGCATCATTTTCTTGTGCATCATAATAAAGCTATATAGCCGGCTAAATATAAATTAACGATTATAATTGAGCTACTTTTCCATGAGATGAGATGAGATGAGCCGAGTTCGGCGTGAGCGCGAAATAGATTTTCGGAAAACGCCAGCGCTTGTTTTAGACGTATATCTCCGTAAAAGGTGTGCGTTATTCCTTCGAAAATTCGAAAACATCTCTCACTGTCTCTCTCTTCGTGAATAACTATGCCTCATTCGCAGATCGCGTCCTACGCGCGAATATTCATTCTCCGCGCTCTTGGTTTGCTCAATTTATTCAATCTCTCTGCCGCCAATCACGCACAAGGTAGACACAAATAAGTCAGCTTATTTATGTAATTGTCGTTTCCCCTCCTTCAGTCTCTCACGAAGTTTAAATGTTTCCTTTGCGGAGATTCTTAGCTGGAACGCATCTTGAAACATTTGCATTTACGTTTGAGAAAAATTCGTATAAATATCAATAAGAAAAATATCAGTCTAAAAGTATATTATTCCAAGGATAAAGGAACACTTATTCTAATGTACTCTATTACGATATCTTAAAAGGAGAATTATCGTTTCTCCCATAAAGCGCGAGCGATACGGCGCGATAACGCGCGGCAAAAATAAATCGACATCCGATCTCCCGGTATGCATTCTTCACGCATTCATATCGAGTATGATTCGATACCGGTTCGCGCGCTTATTTTTTTTTTTTTAAATCCGTCTACTGTAATACATTCGACCAGCGACGTCCGCGTGTTCATCGCATCATTATCGTCATTCATCATCAATCTTTGCTCGTATTTACGACGCGAATCTTAGCTGAGGGGGGAGATGGTAAACAATGAATCGACGCGAGATCTCGATGTATCGATCGTGCCGGAATTTTTTCTCTTTTTTACCATATACGAGGAAGGGAACAAAAACGCGCGAAGGATTTCCGCGGAGAGGATAGACCTTCGGGATCGCGGAAAAGACCGAGATTACGGTCGGCGGCGCCGGCGCCGAAATAGTCGCGGCTGCCTGTGACAAAAATTGTATTTTTAGCTGTCAAAAAATCGAAGGAGAGGGAAAAGGAGAGAGAGAGAGAGAGAGAGAGAGAGAGAGAGAAGATAAAAGGAATTAGCGTGTACGCGTTATTTTCTCGTCTCTCTTCTCCGCATCGCTTCGTGCACAGATTGATAGAATTTAGAATTTAGGTTAGAAAGGCCAGGGGTTTCCAGCTGTCGCTCGATCGAGGCTACCCGGCCGGTGAAACGCACCGTCGAGTGTAATCGTCTCGGCGATGATGGCGACCAGCCACGAGGGCTCGGGGAGACACGAGACACGGCATGCATACATAGATACGTACATAGATATGCGCTACTTAATCGTGATCGGGACGCGCTCTCTCACCGGCTTGCGGGAGGCTCGCAAAAGTCTGGTTTATGCGAGCGACACGAAGATGTCGGGGAGCCGTGGCGTGCGTATCCGTCTCTGCGTACCGGTGCGTTCCCTTTCTTTCCCGCTTCCTTCCCTCTCGTCCTCTCTCGGCCGCGGCCGCTTCTTCTCTTCCTACCTTTCTTCTCCCGTATTCTCTCTCTCTTTGCGCGCGAGCAACAAGTATGTACTCTCTGAACGTAGCGTCAGGAGGCTCGCGATGCGAACGATGGACTCAGGTGGACTGCGTTGGATTTGCGTGGCAGGCAATCACGAAGGCGGGTGGACAGACGGGCAGGCAGACGGGCCAGCTGACTGGCTGGCGGCTCGAGCGGCTGACGTTCGCGCAACGTCGATGCGATTCTCTCTAGCGCACGCACATGCACGCATACGGACGTGTATCGCGACGGAGCGGCGGACGAAAGAAGGAGGAACAAGAGGAGAATGTCGAGACGCACGACCTAAGAATATACACCCGTTTCTTCGACCGAGAAACCGCGGAAAATCGTGATCCGCAGGCTTCATGCGATCGATTTGACTTTACGAAACACCGCTACGTTTTCTCTCTCTCTCTCTTTCTGCATAACCTTTCCATTTTTACGCGTAAATTTTATCTTTAATATTTTATATGATTCTTTTAATTAAATATTTTTTAAAAATGCAATCTGATCAGCAATTGCGGTTCGATTTTGTTGGTAAAACTCTAACATAAATCGATGAATTTATATGTAGGTCTCTCGGTGACGATAAAAATCTTTTGCTCGCATGCCAATCATCCTCCGGAATTAATCGCTATTAATCAAATCATATGGTCTGACGTTTAAAAACCTTCCACACAGAGCTCTTAAAGAAATTTATATTGATCTTAACATCACACAGCGATAAAAAAAAAGTAGAGTTCGTAACTCGCAACATGCAACCGTTATTCCATATTAATATAAACCGAAGAATTATACATACAATATGTTTCTTTTTACTCTAAAATAAGGTGCAGTAAGAAAATGAAATAAATTTAGATTTATTTAATAAATCTGATGCATATAATTTAATAATAAACATATCTTTTTTATATCTATTTTATATAAGATTTTTATTAACGACATTTGGATTAACGTGTTTATTCCGAGATATTTTTTGTTATATCTTTTATATTAAAATATTTCATGTTAAAAAACATTAGAATAAATTTAAATGAACATTCTATTGATACGTCATAACAGATATAGTAATGTTATTAATGAATCAAAGTATATATATATATATATATTATATATATAGCAATGAAAATTTGACTTGTGTCCGACAAATCATATATCAAACAAGGTCAAATATAAACTTCATAAAATTTTTAAGTTTTATATCAATGTGAAGAAAGGCAGGTTTATTTTCTAAGAAGAGATATGCAGAATATATTTCAGGATATCGTGAAGAAGAATGATGTGTCATTACAAGCGCGCATTCTTCACGCTTTTTTGTCAAGCGCGAAATTCTCAAAGGTTACTTTTCAACGAATATTTATACACGCAATTAATTTAAAGAATACTAGTAATGATAGAGACATATTGAAACATACTGCGTGTTTATTATTAATTTAGGAAAAATCTCGGCTCGATGCGAAAGAAGCTGAAAATATTTGCGCGGAGCAATCTCTTGATTTACAGAGTGAGTGCTTATTTATATTTGTAGGAAATCAATATTTAAGCGATATTAAAATTTTATCAAAATAATGACGAAAAAAATTGTGACAAATTTATAAGTAAAAGTGATTTAGAATCTGTGAGAATTTTATGTCAATTTTTTGCATCGATTTATTAGAATAAAAGAACGCGAGAATAAAAATTTGTAAATTGGAATTTCTTTTTTTAGACAATAAATTTGAGGAAGACTGAAATTTGACTAAACCTCCATTAAATTTTATTCAGTCAACTCGAATTATTTTGTACCAAAATTGTAATGTCTATTTGCGGGGAAAAATCGTTACACGGCGCGGTTCTACATAATTCGCTCTTTGCTCGTGGCGCTTTTACAACGCGAGTAATCAATCGCAAATCTTGAACAATCTTGAAATAGTGAGGCGAAAGAAAAAGTGCATCCTCACGTGATTATCATAGACATGCCTCACGTATTACTAAGCGACTCGATCGCGGTAGAGTTGGAAGGTAACATTTCTTTGAAATTGCGTTATCGAAATTTCCATATCATTTCGAGAAATTTTCGCGTAATCTAACCTTACACTTTCGTAAACAAAATTGCGCGCGGTTTCGTATGTATATGTATATACCACTTGCCACAGTGCCACTGTGAATTTAATTCAGAGAAACTAAGCGTTTTCACTTTATCCATCAACTGTCTTTTAATCCGTCGTGTCGTAATAATTCTTACACATCGATTATGTAACTGTTACATCAAAGATGTATACCATCTTGTATGTCACTGTAATAACAAGTCATATTTTCTTGCAGCTCAAGACCCATGGCCTCAACCGATCACTCTGTACCAACCTTATGAAGTAGAACAGATTCTGCTTCCAGACAATGCAAACTGCTTGGCGGTGCAGGCTTTCCTCAAGATGTGTCAGCTTGATTTTCAGATAGAACCAAGGAAGAACGCAGAGTTTATGTCGCCATCAGGCCGTGTACCATTTATCAAATGTGGTACAAAGTTGATATCCGAATTTGATGGTATAGTTGCACACATAGCGAGTAAAGGGATAAGTCTGTCCGATTACTTGGATTCTACCGCCAAAGTGGATATGAGAGCGTACCTGTCCCTTGTAAACAATGTATTTGTAAACGCGGAACTGTATATTTGCTGGGTGGATCCAGCAATTTTAGATACAGTCACCAAACCGAGACATGGGAGTGTGTATCCTTGGCCGCTTAATCATTATATAAACTGGCAAAAGAGACGAGAAGTTATAAAAAAACTCAATGTACTTGGCTGGTATAACAAGAGTTTAGATGAAGTCTATGAAGATGTAAGAAAGTGTTGTATGGCACTCTCCGAAAGACTAGCAGATGAAGAGTTTTTCTTTGGAAAAGAGTAAGTAACTTTTCTACTATTCTTATTGTTTGTTGCTTCTGTTATTCATTTATCTGATTATGTTTCTTCAAGTCCCACCGAATTCGATGCCCTGATATACGGTCACATTCACGCTCTCACATCGCCTTCCTTTCCTTCAAACCAAGGGATCATCACCACGATTCGTCAGTTTCCCAAGCTTATCGAGCACATGTTTAGAATTAAACAGCGCTACTTTAATTCCGAAGTGCAGAACAAAATTGCTGAAGAATTTGAAATAATTGAGTCACCATCCAAGGATACTCTGTGGGATGGCTTTCAATCGCAGCCTGAATCGCTTCCTTCTCTTTCCGACCATTCCTTTACATTATCGATGAATTGACTTATGTATATATATAGCTTAAAATAAATACATATGTTCCTAAATATATTGATTACGATATGATTACGATAAAAACATAAAAGATTTTTATGCACGATTCTTATCTAGCAAGCCCAATGAATTGGATGCTTTGGTTTTTGGTCACGTATTCACAATAATCACAACGCCGTTACCCAACAAACTGGCTATGATCGTGCGGGATCATCCGAAGCTCGTGAATCTTTGTAAACGCATCGAGAATAGGTATTTCCAGCGTACGAAGGATTAGATAGAATCCTACTCGGACTTCAGATACATCGAGTTGCAGTACACTGATTACATCCATCATAAATTAAGTTTCCTGTGCTTTGCGACTGACGTGACCAAGGATGACCATATAAAAGAAAATTTATGTAATATTCAATAGCTAATTTTCGGATCAACAACTCTCAATTTTTCATTGATAAAATCTATTACTTGTAAAAACTGTTACAAATCGAATCTTTCTTGTTTTTCTTTCACTGCAAGATGGATATATCTGAAGTGCGAGTAATGTTGAGTACGGCATGTAGTATACGCTTTAATAATGTTAGCTCATTGTTATTATAAATATGATATATATATATATATATATATATATATTAAAGTTGATCATTTCAATACTTATGCATAATTTCTTTTAAATGCATAATACTGCACATAACATTTTTCAGCCTTTTTTCTCCTCGAGCTATAGACAGTCAGACTAATGAAACGCTGGAGTTCAAGAATTAAGCCAATGATCTGACATCCATACCAAGGATAAATGAATTAAAAGAAAATGGCGATCTTTCTCTAAATTCAAACATAGCCCAATGTCAGGCAATAAAATGTGCCAAAACAAATTGAAGCACAATTTCGGAAGCTATTGATTAGGTATAAAATCTCGTTTCTCATGAAATACCATAAATTATATACATCAATAGTTCCTGATGATATTTTCTTTTATATTCATAATTATTTTATTGAAATATATATGTAATTAATAGTGTAATGTACATTGTTAAGCGCGCTGTTAAATTAAAGTATGTCATCTCGATGTTACATAGAAAAGTAGAGCAGGGAAGAACAATTTTCTAGTCAATATATATCATTCTCCATTCTTATATCTGTCGCATGCAGATTCGGGAGAAATCGGGAGAAAAAATAATAATTCTCGATTTGGGTAGTTACGTGGGCACGTAATTTTACGTGTGACACCGCATGTAAAATCTAATTTATTATTTAATATTTTTTATATAAATATGATTTAATAATTTGTGTGTATATAATGTTCAACATGTTTCTTGTCTCCAGCGTTTCAGTTATAACATTATTGAAATGCGAATCAAATGATCTGTCTACTCATATTATAAGACCATCGTTTACATCTTGTGTTAATTTATTTCTATAACAAACATTACAGGGCTAATTTATTGTAACACGCAAAATAAAGATGTTCCACAATTGTGATGTAAAAAAAAGTTTTCTGGGAAATTAGCTATACATGATCCAACTGATTTCACGAATAACAATCTGTTATTATTTATTATTATTATGTGTGTGTTTGTGCATAATATGAGTATAATCTTAAACTATGATAAACACACTACGAGGCGTAAGATTTTTGCGACGCCATTTATTACATAATGTTGCTAATTTTTGTTTTGATACTGAATTCTATGTTCCTTACACTATGAATTATACACAGGTTTATTATGTAGCACATATAATCGTGTATAATTATATAATTATATGATACATATAATTATATAATTATTGACAGATGTGTTTAATCATCTTTATATACAAGCATTTGGATATCAGGTAATTTGTATAAATATGACATAATATGATACACCCCTAGAATATGCATTTAAAAACATCAGTGTGTGTTACAGCTGGAGAATGGCATACCTATAGAAAGTTGGTTTGCCGATCGTTCGGATAACGAATTAATGAAATTATTACCATTTTTGGAAAATCTAGTAAACTGGGTAAGTTTTTGCATTTTCTACTGTAATGTTGGATTTAATTTTATGAAAGAGTACAATTAGACAATTAGATTTTTTTTTTTTTATTTAATTCTTGTCACAGGGAGGCGATGTAAGGCCGCGCATTAGAGAACAGTTTCGATTATTCAGCTTTCTACCACCGGATTAATTTAACTAGCGTGCACAAAATTCAACATTGTCTGAGATACTTCTTAGCCAATAAAGAAAAAAGAAGATATCAAAAAAATATCTTAAAGATACATTAAATAGATAAATAATAGCTATTCTCCGCGATGCATAAAGCATAATCTGCTATAATATTATAATTATTTACAATGTTTCACAAATGGATATGCCTGTTGGTATATAGAAATATGGAATTTAATAAGTCTAGATCTCTTTGAAATTAATGTTCCAATTCATTGTCCAAAACAAAGTATCTGTGAACGAAAATGTTGCGTACGATTTTGTTAGTTTATTTGTTTAGACTTGAAGTCAAGATAAAGAAATCAAATCGTGTCTAACATGAACATCAGTGAGCATAATATATTATTGTGTATCATTTTTATCAATACTTCCAAATGAGTATCAAGTGTCTCTCCATGACGTGATTATATGACCTCTGTGTATATAATAAGATTCGTATCTTACGTACAATATACAATTGTTTCACAATTTGCTCTTGTATTGCAATAATTGAGAGTAATATCTAAGAGATTGCTTTTTTTGTATCACCAGAGAGAGTGAAATGTATGATCTCAATTTATTTATCTATCTAAAACATCTCTAATTTGAAAATTCTTTAATATATTCCCGCTATCACGATTCTCTGATCTGATTGTGAATTACAATTGTTTATTATCATCACAATTTTTAAATCTATGTCTAGATTGAAATTTTTTATATATATATATATATATATATATATATATATATATATATATATATATATATATATATATATATATATATATATATATATATATATATATATATATATATATATATATATATATATATATATATATATATATATATATATATATATATATATATATATATATATATATATATATATATATATATAAAAAATTTCAATCTAGACATAGATTTAAAAATTGTGATGATAATAAACAATTGTAATTCACAATCAGATCAGAGAATCGTGATAGCGGGAATATATTAAAGAATTTTCAAATTAGAGATGTTTTAGATAGATAAATAAATTGAGATCATACATTTCACTCTCTCTGGTGATACAAAAAAAGCAATCTCTTAGATATTACTCTCAATTATTGCAATACAAGAGCAAATTGTGAAACAATTGTATATTGTACGTAAGATACGAATCTTATTATATACACAGAGGTCATATAATCACGTCATGGAGAGACACTTGATACTCATTTGGAAGTATTGATAAAAATGATACACAATAATATATTATGCTCACTGATGTTCATGTTAGACACGATTTGATTTCTTTATCTTGACTTCAAGTCTAAACAAATAAACTAACAAAATCGTACGCAACATTTTCGTTCACAGATACTTTGTTTTGGACAATGAATTGGAACATTAATTTCAAAGAGATCTAGACTTATTAAATTCCATATTTCTATATACCAACAGGCATATCCATTTGTGAAACATTGTAAATAATTATAATATTATAGCAGATTATGCTTTATGCATCGCGGAGAATAGCTATTATTTATCTATTTAATGTATCTTTAAGATATTTTTTTGATATCTTCTTTTTTCTTTATTGGCTAAGAAGTATCTCAGACAATGTTGAATTTTGTGCACGCTAGTTAAATTAATCCGGTGGTAGAAAGCTGAATAATCGAAACTGTTCTCTAATGCGCGGCCTTACATCGCCTCCCTGTGACAAGAATTAAATAAAAAAAAAAAAATCTAATTGTCTAATTGTACTCTTTCATAAAATTAAATCCAACATTACAGTAGAAAATGCAAAAACTTACCCAGTTTACTAGATTTTCCAAAAATGGTAATAATTTCATTAATTCGTTATCCGAACGATCGGCAAACCAACTTTCTATAGGTATGCCATTCTCCAGCTGTAACACACACTGATGTTTTTAAATGCATATTCTAGGGGTGTATCATATTATGTCATATTTATACAAATTACCTGATATCCAAATGCTTGTGGACTGTTGTCGATAATTACAGTTTTAGATAAATCCCTGCCTAAGATGGATAAATCTTTTATATAGTTTCCGTTAACGCAGACACAGTGTTCCCTGAACAGACGATACTTGATCAATTTTCGCGTTGGATCCAGCAGATTCATCAGCTTGTTAGCGTACACCCGTTTGCTCGCCGTGAACAAAATCACCTCGTAGAGTGACGAGACGTGTTCGAGAAATTCGCGGAAGTACGGTCGCGTTCTTACGAATACCGTATATGTTACATCCTGAAAGACTACTGGGAAGCGAAACGCCGCATCGGATAGTTCTTGCAAGCTGCAATGAACCAACGTCTCGTCCTGCGAAAGAAAAAAAAAAAACCGGAAAGTAATTACGATTATTAACCATCATACGTTGTAAATGCATACATATATTCTTGCAAGCTGCAATGAACCAACGTCTCGTCCTGCGAAAGAAAAAAAAAACCGGAAAGTAATTACGATTGTTAACCATCATACGTTGTAAATGCATACATATGTAAATAGGTGTAAGTCTCAAGCTTACCAAATCTAGTACCAGACTAAATTCTGGACTGCTTCGTGTTTTGAGCGGCAGAGCCGGGCATCTTGCTCTCATTGCTGGCGTGAGCGGCGGCAAGTGCTTGATGAAGACATAAGGATCGAACGGCTCCCAGTCCTCTTGAACTTGAGTAACCATGTTCTCTACATCGCAAGATTCTACTATCTCTTCGCTACCCACCTCCATGTATTCAACCTCGTGATAACGACTGTCGACATCCTCGGAATCATATTTGTCACTAAGATTGCCATTCGTATCGGATGGATGATGAGGATTTATATTGTACGTACTTGCTGGTATACTGTATTTTGTACTGGGATATCCAGCAGTTGTTTCATGTTTTGTTGGGTCTGTTTCAATAGCATATTGATCTTTTGAGAGATCACTGCGGTTTTCATTGTTATCGATAAGCGAGCACTTTCCTCCGTTTGGAAAGTATTTGTCAGATGTGTTGTACGTGGTTGTACGGACGTTATATATCGAAGTCGAATGCATCAAACTGTAGTATTCTGTGGACGTTTCGGCGTGTGCGTATAAAGAGGAGTAGTGTAACGACGACGGTAGCGTAGTATCTGCATAAAAAAGAAGAGAAAAATATATAAATATTAATATGTATTAATTTGGCATTATTTTGACTATATAGGCCATTGAATATGTCATCAAGGGATACCGTTGTTCTTGCTTCCTTCATCATCTAGTAAACATGTGAGATCTGAATGCGATCCTAGGGATACCGGAGGCATTAGACAGGTCAATGAAGATACACTGGATATGGAAGATTTCAAGTCATGTACCGGCGGTATCATTGGACTACGAGAGTCCGTATATGTTACTGACGAGCAAAGAGGTAAAGTGGATCCGCCATTCCAATTTTCCTTAGATTCTTCCGAAACTTTAGACGGCGATGCGTTTTTAGCAGACTACAAAACATATATTAATTTCAGATATAATAATTGATTTTTATATTGTAAAGAATAACGACTGCGAGATAACTTACAATTACTGCATCTATTGGTGGAGCACGGTGCAAAGGAGTTGACGTAACCATCGACCGTTTTATGCATTTTCTTCTACGAGGTCCTCTCTCTCGTCTAATAGGTGTGGATTTAGCAAAATGTAAAACATTTTCTTTACAAGCCTACAAAAGTCAGTAATTTTTTTAATATCTTCTCTGTATATTTACTTGATTAACAATCGCCAATTATTTATAAATTTTTTGCTAATGCAATAATAATAAATGCATGGCACACTACTATCTGAACAACTTGATATAAAAAAATGCGCTATTCTCATAAACTCACTTCTTTTAGAAAACTGGATGATCTACGTTGCCACTGACTCAATCTACTGCATCTACTTGATGTTATTACTCGAGTGCTGTTCCCAATATGCGGTACTTTGCGCGCTGTACCAACTTGTGTTCGATGACCGGTTGCCTTTGATGCCGTTACACCGCTTAAACTTAAACGGCCGCGCAATCTTCTACTAATTCGTTCACTTCTTAGCCACATTTCAACAGCGTTGTTAAGTATCCTGAAATGACAAAATGTTAACTTTGATTGTAGATTAATATTTTCTTAATATCTTTAATTAATCTTCTATAATCTTCAAAATATTGATATAAATATAAAATATAAATAAAAATATATTTGAAAATTGTTTAGGCTCAATAATATCATTAATTATTTTGGGAAAATTGATAGGAAAAGTCTTTATATTGTCTAAAAATAAAATTTGCACAAGTTTTTCAAATTTCTTATTTTATTGCCATATATATCTTTTTAAATTATATAAAATTATATAAAATAATATTTACAAAAAACAATATGTACACAGGGGAAAATCACGGCAATAGTCGAAGTGAGTATCACGATACACAAAAATATATATTTTAAAATGAAAAAAGAAAAATAGGAAGACAAACGCCAAATTCAAGTCGGAAAACACTCTTATTCACAAGATTGCGAATTTTAAATGGACAGGATTTTTCGGAGAACATCGGCGCGCGCTATTGACGTCTCACGCCGGGCAACGGGCAAGATTGCGCGGGAAAGAAGTTCGATCGTTTGATAAAAAGGGGCGTTCCGAAGAAACGTACTGGTATGAGTGAGGACGCGCGCGCGCGCGCGGGCCCACACACACGGCAATTGGATACTGCTGTATATACGTACACACGGATCCATTCGTACATATGACACACACTCACACACACACATAGAGAGAGAGAGAGCCGTATATCGATTTATATGCGGCGCAATGCCCGTGCATATCGCGTTACGGCGATTTCGCCGGGAGATCTCTCACGCCGATCGGCGTGGCGACGCGCGTCGACGGAGATCCGAGACGAGAGCCGAGCCTTTACCTTTCTCGATCGAGAACGAGAGCTTTTGAATGTGCGACGTTGCGCCGCGACGTCGTTGGCGGCGGTGGTACCCCGGGGGACACCTGAAAATCCGCGCGAAAATCGGCCGCCGGCCGCGGCCTGACGGACCGGCCGGGCGTTAACGGCACCCGCGGCTGCTTACCATGTTCGGCGAGTCGTCGACGGCCGACGCGCTCGCACGCCGGCACGAACGGGCGTACACGGCAACCGGGATCACACGCGTTTCATTCAAATCTCGACGCCGTCGCGTACGCTTATCATCCCTCCGAAACTATAACAAACATGGCGACGGCGTCACCGCCGCGGCACTCGCGGCCTCAAGTGCGATACCCGCGGCGGGAGGGAGGATCGCCGAGGATCGCGCTCACGATCCTCGTCCCACGCGCGCTATTTATTCCCCTCGAACGACAGGCGGGACGATGAACCGCAAATTTTCCCTCTCGAACGATATCCCGCGGGATGTTCGATTGTTCTTTCGACACTTGAGGTTTCCGGTTAGTCGAGTAGCTACCCGCCACCTACCGTTTCCGGTGTTTTACAATTTTAATTTCATGTCCATCAATTTCCCGCCTTTTTTGAGGGCCTCTTCTGTCCTCCTGCTCGATTGAAGGACGAATATTGTTGAGCGTAGCACGCGTGTGAATTCTGCGAATAAATAAGAATTTTTTCTATTAAGTACAAACCGAAAGATGCTTTCTCAATCTTATTATTATCCTAACAATAAGCTGAAAATATTAAATGCCCAAGTCTTGGGCATGCTCGTATCTTATCATCGTTAGGCACAACGCAAGAGCCACTTTTTGAAATCCGCATAAATTGTTTATATCGTTTTTATCATTATTTATATTAATAATATACGGTACATTTTATATTAAATAATATATTTTAAACATATTGTATTAATATTACGCAAAGAATTTTACCAACAATGTAGAGACTGCAATTGGATACGCTACTGACGATTAAGCAGCGTCTGCTACATTTGCATTAATGCGCATGCGTAATGTTTGTTTTATCTACATCAGAACGGCCATTTTTTTCAGGTACATTTCCCGCCAACAAGCCGTAAGCCGTCTTATATTCGGAGGCGTCGCGATACAACGTATGTATGCAAAGTGTACATCATCGGCGGCAACATGTATGTCAAAGTGAGGTCAATGGATGGGAAAAAGGAGGCAATTATAATGATCTCCAAGCTCACTATGGTAGAGGATTTAAAGGTATGTCATCGATAATTATTGCCATGTGTGAAACAATTTTGCAATAAAAGTTCATCGCCGTATGTTACATTTTACGAATGAATAAATGGCTTTATAGACGTTGAACGGCTCCTATTCATCATGAATATGTGTATTAAATATTTATTGTGTTAATTATAAATAATTTTCATACAGTCATATTTAAATGATAATGAATTTCGTTGATAGCTCTTAGCATGGGCATGTTGATAGCTCTTATAATCATTGATAAATTTATATTTTGTATTAATACAGATATTGATTTCATTTTATCAGACATATTTAACAACACAATAGAATATAAAAATTGATTTTTGATTTTTCAGCGTCAGATTGAAAAAGAACTGCATATTGAGATAGATATGCAGAGGTTATTTTTTCGTGGCAAGCAATTAGAAAATGGTTACAAGCTCTATGATTATAACATTAATTTGAATGACGTCATACAGCTTATGATAAAGATAAAGATAGATAATACACAGAACAAAGCTACCTCTAGTAATGATAGCGATATAAAAAAGAAGAGGAAGATAAGTGAAAACAAAGAAGAAGAATTAGTAGAAGCAGAGAGTTTATATTATAAAGTTGGGGATGCGATAGACTGCCTCGATCAAATACATGGTGCCTGGTTTGAAGCTATTATACAAAAAATTTTACAAAAGGGAGAGGAAATAATTTATAATGTACTGTGGGAGTTTGACGACAAAGCTTTCCCTTTTAATGTACCTGAAACATGTATACGACCACGCGTTAGACATCTTATACCTTTTGATGAATTATCTGTTGGTCAAAAGGTAATGATCAATTATAATGTGGATGAGCCTAAACAAGTTGGACTGTGGTATGACTTTACAATATCCAAGATAGAGAAAAAAAGAAAATTGCAAGAATTGACTGGAATGTTGCACATGGGCAGGTATATATTTTTCCTTCCATTTTTTGCATTATATTATTTATTAAGAATTATGATTGAGTTTAACTATATATTGTTCATTTTTCTTTTTATTAGCGATCATCAACTTGAAATTCAAAAAGTTAATCCCAAAGGAGAAATATATGCTATTGAAGCAATCAAGTTATTGACTGAGAGAACCGCAGAAGATGAAAGATTTATGATTAGTAATGGCAAACGCAGACGTATCGCTGCTACCTGCACGACATGCATGGACAATCCACGTAAGAAGTGTCAAGAGTGTGGTTGTAAAGTATGCGCTGGCAAGCAAGATGAACATAATCTTTTACTTTGCGACGAATGCAATTATGCATATCATTTAGGATGTCTGAATCCACCGCTCGCGACAATTCCAGACGATGATTATTGGTATTGTCCCGAATGCAAAAATGATGAAAACGAAATTGTTAAGGTATGTCTAAATTTAATTATTGATAATATATCTTTGTTATCATTTTCATCCTTGCTACTATTTATTTATTCAGGCAGGAGATAAACTGAAAGAGTCAAAGAAAAAGCCCATTATCCAAGACACTAAGGAACCAAAAAGGGATTGGGGGAAAGGAATGGCTTGCGTTGGTAGAACAAAGGTATGCAGTATTGTCCCTTCGAATCATCGTGGTCCAGTTCCAGGTATAGAGGTTGGCATGTGTTGGATATTTAGAGTGCAGGTAAATAAAAGTTCCAAATTTTCTTCCAGTAGTTTGTCGATAAATTTATCAATTGAATAATATGAAGAAAAATATATATTGTACAGGTCTCGGAAGTAGGAGTACACAGACCACACATAGCTGGCATTCATGGACGAGAAACGGACTGCGCGTACTCTATCGTTTTATCGGGCGGTTACGAGGACGACATTGACAATGGTGACGAATTTCTATACACTGGCTCTGGTGGCAGAGATTTATCAGGTTACCATCTGCTATTTAATGGATAATAAAAGAACATTACTTGTAAAATTTAATCAAAAAATTTTTCTACAATATACATTTTATATCAATAACAGGTAACAAAAGAACTGCTGGACAAAGTAGTGACCAGACATTAACCAGAATGAATAAAGCGTTGGCGATAAATTGTAACGCTAAATTAAACGCGAAAGACGGCGCAACGGCCGAGAATTGGAGAGGAGGGATACCGGTCCGAGTCGTACGCAATTTTAAATTAAGGAAATATAGTAAATATGCGCCGCAGGAAGGTAACAGGTACATTGACTGTTTTATATCTTGGATAATAAATATGCATATATAATACATATACAGTTCTTTAACAATATCATACATTTGTCGCAGATACGACGGTATATATAAAGTAGTAAAGTATTATCCGGACACAGGTAAAAGTGGCTTTCGTGTTTGGAGATATGTATTAAGGAGGGATGATCCTTCTCCTGCGCCTTGGACTAAAGAAGGCAAGACGAGAATCGCTTCGCTCGGTTTAAAGCCGATATATCCCGATGGATATCTCGAAGCTATGAAGAAAAGCAATGTAACAAATGCTAAGAAACGATCTGCTCTCAGCAGTGAAGAAGATACTATGGTCTTGAAAAGAAATAAGAGTCCACCTAAAAAAAAGCTCAAGCGGGAGATCTATGATTTGGAGGACGAATTGAAGAATTTTATAGAAAATGACAAACTAAATGTTAAATTGTGGGCTGAATGCACCGCAGCATTACCTGATGGAAAAACCACTTTCCTGCAATTTATTTCAGATAGGTAAAATATTCTTTGTAGAAAAATATTATAAGTTTTCTTCATAATTTCTTAATAATCAAATCAATTTTTGACACAATTCAATTTTATATTTTGCAGATTCGCGTGCGCTTGTTGCCTCGAAATAGTTTATAATCCTGTAACGACTCCCTGTGCACACAATATCTGCTTAAAGTGTTTAAAACGAAGCTTTTTTTCTGAGGTGTATTCCTGTCCCTCGTGTCGATATGATCTAGGTAAAACTTATAAAATGGAGATCAATCAGTCATTGGCATCTGCATTATTATTGATTTATCCTGGTTACGACAGCGGGAGATAGTGAATTTTTTCGTACAATAATATGCGAGTTGCTGAATGTTGTTTATTTAATTTCAAAACAAATTGTGTAAATTATAGAAGCCAGTGGCTATTCATTTGTGTTTTCGAATTGACAGTTCAGACACATAAAAATTATATGTTAGATAAAAATCCTTCATATTGAATTTATTATGGTATCATGTATAGTATAGCTATGACATAGCTTTTTGTGGCACAAATTAATCTTTGAAACAGGGACTATAAATACAATGATTATTCGTATATCAGCAGAATAAATATTTTATAGAAATAAAAAAAGAGAGAATAAGTAATATTTCTGTTTATATTATAAATTTATATGCAGAAACTGATATGCCTTATTCTAATGAAGTCTGAAAATTAAACCTTTATATTTTATTATAATTGATAAGTGACATTGTTGCTTAAGTATATGTTAATATGTATACGTACAATATAGATCTTTTGATTGACTGATCAATGATGTTTTCTCGATCGAGAACGAGAGCTTTTGAATGTGCGACGTTGCGCCGCGACGTCGTTGGCGGCGGTGGTACCCCGGGGGACACCTGAAAATCCGCGCGAAAATCGGCCGCCGGCCGCGGCCTGACGGACCGGCCGGGCGTTAACGGCACCCGCGGCTGCTTACCATGTTCGGCGAGTCGTCGACGGCCGACGCGCTCGCACGCCGGCACGAACGGGCGTACACGGCAACCGGGATCACACGCGTTTCATTCAAATCTCGACGCCGTCGCGTACGCTTATCATCCCTCCGAAACTATAACAAACATGGCGACGGCGTCACCGCCGCGGCACTCGCGGCCTCAAGTGCGATACCCGCGGCGGGAGGGAGGATCGCCGAGGATCGCGCTCACGATCCTCGTCCCACGCGCGCTATTTATTCCCCTCGAACGACAGGCGGGACGATGAACCGCAAATTTTCCCTCTCGAACGATATCCCGCGGGATGTTCGATTGTTCTTTCGACACTTGAGGTTTCCGGTTAGTCGAGTAGCTACCCGCCACCTACCGTTTCCGGTGTTTTACAATTTTAATTTCATGTCCATCAATTTCCCGCCTTTTTTGAGGGCCTCTTCTGTCCTCCTGCTCGATTGAAGGACGAATATTGTTGAGCGTAGCACGCGTGTGAATTCTGCGAATAAATAAGAATTTTTTCTATTAAGTACAAACCGAAAGATGCTTTCTCAATCTTATTATTATCCTAACAATAAGCTGAAAATATTAAATGCCCAAGTCTTGGGCATGCTCGTATCTTATCATCGTTAGGCACAACGCAAGAGCCACTTTTTGAAATCCGCATAAATTGTTTATATCGTTTTTATCATTATTTATATTAATAATATACGGTACATTTTATATTAAATAATATATTTTAAACATATTGTATTAATATTACGCAAAGAATTTTACCAACAATGTAGAGACTGCAATTGGATACGCTACTGACGATTAAGCAGCGTCTGCTACATTTGCATTAATGCGCATGCGTAATGTTTGTTTTATCTACATCAGAACGGCCATTTTTTTCAGGTACATTTCCCGCCAACAAGCCGTAAGCCGTCTTATATTCGGAGGCGTCGCGATACAACGTATGTATGCAAAGTGTACATCATCGGCGGCAACATGTATGTCAAAGTGAGGTCAATGGATGGGAAAAAGGAGGCAATTATAATGATCTCCAAGCTCACTATGGTAGAGGATTTAAAGGTATGTCATCGATAATTATTGCCATGTGTGAAACAATTTTGCAATAAAAGTTCATCGCCGTATGTTACATTTTACGAATGAATAAATGGCTTTATAGACGTTGAACGGCTCCTATTCATCATGAATATGTGTATTAAATATTTATTGTGTTAATTATAAATAATTTTCATACAGTCATATTTAAATGATAATGAATTTCGTTGATAGCTCTTAGCATGGGCATGTTGATAGCTCTTATAATCATTGATAAATTTATATTTTGTATTAATACAGATATTGATTTCATTTTATCAGACATATTTAACAACACAATAGAATATAAAAATTGATTTTTGATTTTTCAGCGTCAGATTGAAAAAGAACTGCATATTGAGATAGATATGCAGAGGTTATTTTTTCGTGGCAAGCAATTAGAAAATGGTTACAAGCTCTATGATTATAACATTAATTTGAATGACGTCATACAGCTTATGATAAAGATAAAGATAGATAATACACAGAACAAAGCTACCTCTAGTAATGATAGCGATATAAAAAAGAAGAGGAAGATAAGTGAAAACAAAGAAGAAGAATTAGTAGAAGCAGAGAGTTTATATTATAAAGTTGGGGATGCGATAGACTGCCTCGATCAAATACATGGTGCCTGGTTTGAAGCTATTATACAAAAAATTTTACAAAAGGGAGAGGAAATAATTTATAATGTACTGTGGGAGTTTGACGACAAAGCTTTCCCTTTTAATGTACCTGAAACATGTATACGACCACGCGTTAGACATCTTATACCTTTTGATGAATTATCTGTTGGTCAAAAGGTAATGATCAATTATAATGTGGATGAGCCTAAACAAGTTGGACTGTGGTATGACTTTACAATATCCAAGATAGAGAAAAAAAGAAAATTGCAAGAATTGACTGGAATGTTGCACATGGGCAGGTATATATTTTTCCTTCCATTTTTTGCATTATATTATTTATTAAGAATTATGATTGAGTTTAACTATATATTGTTCATTTTTCTTTTTATTAGCGATCATCAACTTGAAATTCAAAAAGTTAATCCCAAAGGAGAAATATATGCTATTGAAGCAATCAAGTTATTGACTGAGAGAACCGCAGAAGATGAAAGATTTATGATTAGTAATGGCAAACGCAGACGTATCGCTGCTACCTGCACGACATGCATGGACAACCCACGTAAGAAGTGTCAAGAGTGTGGTTGTAAAGTATGCGCTGGCAAGCAAGATGAACATAATCTTTTACTTTGCGACGAATGCAATTATGCATATCATTTAGGATGTCTGAATCCACCGCTCGCGACAATTCCAGACGATGATTATTGGTATTGTCCCGAATGCAAAAATGATGAAAACGAAATTGTTAAGGTATGTCTAAATTTAATTATTGATAATATATCTTTGTTATCATTTTCATCCTTGCTACTATTTATTTATTCAGGCAGGAGATAAATTGAAAGAGTCAAAGAAAAAGCCCATTATCCAAGACACTAAGGAACCAAAAAGGGATTGGGGGAAAGGAATGGCTTGCGTTGGTAGAACAAAGGTATGCAGTATTGTCCCTTCGAATCATCGTGGTCCAGTTCCAGGTATAGAGGTTGGCATGTGTTGGATATTTAGAGTGCAGGTAAATAAAAGTTCCAAATTTTCTTCCAGTAGTTTGTCGATAAATTTATCAATTGAATAATATGAAGAAAAATATATATTGTACAGGTCTCGGAAGTAGGAGTACACAGACCACACATAGCTGGCATTCATGGACGAGAAACGGACTGCGCGTACTCTATCGTTTTATCGGGCGGTTACGAGGACGACATTGACAATGGTGACGAATTTCTATACACTGGCTCTGGTGGCAGAGATTTATCAGGTTACCATCTGCTATTTAATGGATAATAAAAGAACATTACTTGTAAAATTTAATCAAAAAATTTTTCTACAATATACATTTTATATCAATAACAGGTAACAAAAGAACTGCTGGACAAAGTAGTGACCAGACATTAACCAGAATGAATAAAGCGTTGGCGATAAATTGTAACGCTAAATTAAACGCGAAAGACGGCGCAACGGCCGAGAATTGGAGAGGAGGGATACCGGTCCGAGTCGTACGCAATTTTAAATTAAGGAAATATAGTAAATATGCGCCGCAGGAAGGTAACAGGTACATTGACTGTTTTATATCTTGGATAATAAATATGCATATATAATACATATACAGTTCTTTAACAATATCATACATTTGTCGCAGATACGACGGTATATATAAAGTAGTAAAGTATTATCCGGACACAGGTAAAAGTGGCTTTCGTGTTTGGAGATATGTATTAAGGAGGGATGATCCTTCTCCTGCGCCTTGGACTAAAGAAGGCAAGACGAGAATCGCTTCGCTCGGTTTAAAGCCGATATATCCCGATGGATATCTCGAAGCTATGAAGAAAAGCAATGTAACAAATGCTAAGAAACGATCTGCTCTCAGCAGTGAAGAAGATACTATGGTCTTGAAAAGAAATAAGAGTCCACCTAAAAAAAAGCTTAAGCGGGAGATCTATGATTTGGAGGACGAATTGAAGAATTTTATAGAAAATGACAAACTAAATGTTAAATTGTGGGCTGAATGCACCGCAGCATTACCTGATGGAAAAACCACTTTCCTGCAATTTATTTCAGATAGGTAAAATATTCTTTGTAGAAAAATATTATAAGTTTTCTTCATAATTTCTTAATAATCAAATCAATTTTTGACACAATTCAATTTTATATTTTGCAGATTCGCGTGCGCTTGTTGCCTCGAAATAGTTTATAATCCTGTAACGACTCCCTGTGCACACAATATCTGCTTAAAGTGTTTAAAACGAAGCTTTTTTTCTGAGGTGTATTCCTGTCCCTCGTGTCGATATGATCTAGGTAAAACTTATAAAATGGAGATCAATCAGTCATTGGCATCTGCATTATTATTGATTTATCCTGGTTACGACAGCGGGAGATAGTGAATTTTTTCGTACAATAATATGCGAGTTGCTGAATGTTGTTTATTTAATTTCAAAACAAATTGTGTAAATTATAGAAGCCAGTGGCTATTCATTTGTGTTTTCGAATTGACAGTTCAGACACATAAAAATTATATGTTAGATAAAAATCCTTCATATTGAATTTATTATGGTATCATGTATAGTATAGCTATGACATAGCTTTTTGTGGCACAAATTAATCTTTGAAACAGGGACTATAAATACAATGATTATTCGTATATCAGCAGAATAAATATTTTATAGAAATAAAAAAAGAGAGAATAAGTAATATTTCTGTTTATATTATAAATTTATATGCAGAAACTGATATGCCTTATTCTAATGAAGTCTGAAAATTAAACCTTTATATTTTATTATAATTGATAAGTGACATTGTTGCTTAAGTATATGTTAATATGTATACGTACAATATAGATCTTTTGATTGACTGATCAATGATGTTATTTAGCAGATGATTAGTATTCTAGAGCAAGGGAAGAATTTGAATCTTCTAATAAGAAACTTTTCAAATACATTTTATGTATTGCCTAGACTATTATATCCAGGTCATTGTGTGGATTGTTATTTATTTATTATAGTAGAATAATCTTAGAAATGATAAACAGTAATGAATTTCCTGCATTGAATTTATGTATCTTGCTTTTCCTGGATACTTTTATCAAGTGATGGTACTACTTCACTGATCCATTTCAGATAATCGCCATTCCCATTTTGTATCTGCAATAGAAAAAAACATTTATAAACTTTTAATATATTTTATACATTTAATTTGTGGTATTGTATTTATTATTACTTTCCTGGATATATTAAAATAATACTCTTTAAAATAAGATATACAAATTAACTTACAGGCAGAGAAATTACTTCACAAACTGTATATGGATGATTATCTCTGTAAAAAATTGAATTAAAATTTGAGATATAGTTTTTATGTATGTATAAAGTATATTAGTTAACTTACTTTACATATTTTGTTAAAGCATCTACTTTCTCTGTCCTAGTTTTTATCATCTGTAATTTAAATAAGTAATCAATATCGAGATATTTTTATCTCATTTATAAAGTTCAATGAATTTCTTACTAATAAAAGTTCAGAGTCCTCTTGTATTTTCCCTTCCCATTCATATCTGGGAATAATATTTTTATTATTTAATCAAAAATATTTTTTGGAAAATATCCAGAAATCTCTATTAAAATATTTTTCAGCGAGTAAAAAATATTCCCCTTCCATAGGAGAAACTTACATGGAAGTAAGTTGTGGAATGATGTTAACACAGGCAGCGAGTTTATTTTCGACCAGGCCACTTTATGAAAAAAAGAAAAATAAATCACATTAAATGTGTTTTATCAAAGAGTGAAGCAAATACATTTGTAAATGTTTATACCGTGCTATTTTTTTCGCAACTGTATCATTTGGTACTGTGACGTACGCCACAGAATGTACCCCGGCGAGACTCGACATATTCCGATAAACTTGGGCACAAATATTTCTTGTTATGCAGAAAAACATCAACACTCCTACGAGAGAGGATCGTGTTATGAATAGCATTTGCAACAGTTTGTCGCGAAACGCCGGCTGTACTTTGCGGTTAGTTATAAATTTCGAGTCGATAAGAAACGAGAATCGAGCACCGGATGATCAATAATATTGTATAAAAAATAGTGTAGCTGATTTGTATTTGTATATATATATATATATTTTTTTTTTAGGATTTATATATACATCGCGTTTGAAAATAGTAGGGTAATTTTTAGGATAATATATCGGAGCTCTTTCCAGCAAGAAAACAGAGATAGACACAATGTCACGCAATTGGCTTTTAAATAGAGAATTTTTAAAGACCCTAAAATTTTTCTATTTGACAGCTAATCATATGATTTTGTATTTATATGTTTCTTGCTAGAAAACTCCCAATGTTACATCGAGAACAGCCGGTAAGTCAGAGTTTCGCGATCACTTCTGTCACATTCGTAACAGCGGCCTCTATGACGAATCTTTCTTTTCGGAACTATATAAATAAAATTTTAGATCTGTTCATCTGTTCACAGCGCGGGACAGAGGGGATACAGAGGAAGGAATCAATCTCGTATCTAAAATGCTTCTAATATAAAATGTTACTAATATAAAAAAAATATATAAGAGAGAATCGTACAATCTGTTATAAGGTTTGTTTAGAATTGTACTTTTGACATTTGAAGAAAAATAGCAAGCAAAAGGTGTATTTGTAAATGTCATCATTTTTTAATGATAATTCTGCAATTCTTGTTTTTACATGTGCTTTATTCAATATAAATATGAAAATAACGTGACGTTCTGATATAAGACTTTGCAGAAGTATTTTTCTATGTTTCGTATAAAAATTATTCCAAGCAGGAGAGATGGAGCGTAAAAAAATATCTTTCTTTTACCCGTTATATGTCACAGATGCGCGCGCTGGAGAGAGAAAGAGGAATAAAGTGCAAAGTGTAACGAGCCACACAAACGTATATATGCGGTACCGCTATACAATACACAGATACATACATCACATATATACATATCGCACCATTCATTGCGGTGGCATAGGTAACCTTGAAAAGGCCACCCTCGGAGCGCTACTACACATTTTAGAGTCCCGTGAATCCGCCGGAGAGTTTTCTGTCAGTCTTCAGCTGTAACCGCAATTGGCCACAATTCATATCGGTTCCTCAAAAAAGCATCGAGGCAAAGTGCAAAATACTCATCTTCGACGAGGAGAAGACATAGAACGATGCGTCGTTGATCCTCGTCGTCGTCGTCCTCGTCGCTATCGAAATGTCACCGTGAAGAAAATCACGATCGATGACACTCGGTGGGAGTGCTGCGTGTTGTTGACGTCCGCGGCATATAGGTTATACATCGCGGTGATAATTGAAGTCCTCTTCTCCGAAAGGATGCCATCCGCGAGGAATTGAACGGCGAATGCCGTAGGCAATAATTATTACGGTGCTCGAGCAGCATGGTGCAACGTCCGGTCGCGCTTCGGCGCAATGTGAGAATACTGTTGATCGGCGAACGAGGCGTCGGCAAGACCTCTCTAATATTGTCTCTGGTGAGCGAGGAATATGCGGAGGAAGTGCCTAGCAAGGCCGAGGAGATCACGATACCGGCCGACGTCACGCCGGAACAGGTGCCGACGCATATAGTCGATTATTCAGGTAGCGCACTTGACATTTCTGTATGTTTTATATATATATATATTTTTTTTTTTTTGTCAAATGTTTGTTAATATTATACTCGGTATTTACAGCGGTGGAGCAAACGGACGATCAACTGGCGGAAGAGATTCAGAAGGCGCATGTGATATGCGTGGTCTACTCCGTGGACGACGAGGATACTCTGGATAGAGCTGCCAACTATTGGTTACCGTTAATCAGAAAGTGCTCGCCTGACAATCGATGTCCAGTTGTACTCGTAGGCAATAAAATCGACCTCGTAGATTATTCTACCATAGAGGTTTGTAGAGAGATTTAAATAGTATACATTTATATTATATCTCTATGTCAGTAATTCTTATTTTTTATTGCAATTCCAGGCTGTATATCCCATTATGAAAGAGTTTACAGAGATTGAAAGCTGCATAGAGGTAAGATTGTATAATTTATCTATCATGAGGAAACTGAAGAAAAGATACAAAGAAATATTTTATCTGTTTGTAGTGCTCGGCGAAAACACTTCAAAATGTTTCAGAAACATTTTATTATGCACAAAAAGCAGTTTTGCATCCTACCACACCTTTGTACAATTATGACACGCAGGAGGTGAGTTATATATTTATACCTAGTTCCTCTTTAATTTAATCTTTCTGACTAAAATTGATTCAATCTATATTTCCTATTCTAGCTCACCGAGGAATGCAAAACTGCCTTAAAGCGAATTTTTAAAGTAAGTATGTATTATAGATAGGGTATCTTCTATTTTTATATTTCTACACATATATATATTCTAATATAGCTTAATATAAAAAATGAAATAAATACTTTTTGATTCTCATATTTTAATAGTTTTATAACACATTGCTTTACAAATTAAAATAGCTAAAAGAATCGATTTATATAAATTATATAAAAAAAGAATTATGTGACTTTATTTAAAAAAATATAGACTTTTAAATCTCGAAAGCGACTCCATCTAGATTATTCATCCATTATTTTCTTGAATAATTATTAGGTTCAAAAATAATTGCATATATTATATGCTATATTATTTCTTTTTTTACAGATATGCGATGTAGATAACGATGGACTTTTAAACGATATGGAGTTGAACGCGTTTCAGCAATGGTGCTTCAACACACCATTACAACCACAAGTGCTGGAGGATGTAAAAGCTGTATTATCAAAAAATATTTGTGATGGTATATGTAACGGATGCGTCACAATGAAAGGTATGCAGTTGATTCAGTGTTAAACTTATATGAGATGTACTAAAGCTATCAATATAATTGTCTCTGATTATATACAGGTTTTATGTATTTACAATGTTTATTCATACAACGTGGAAGGAACGAAACGACTTGGGCTGTATTACGAAAGTTTGGATATGATAATGAGCTGCAAATGTCAAAAGAATATATTCATCCCTCGTATGTATAAAGAAGTTGCAGAGTCTCACGTCACCAATATATTTCCAATATTAATAACTGAACATCTTTGTTTTAGATTAAAAGTCCCGCTTGGCTGCACTACCGAATTATCACACAAGGGACAAGAGTTTTTGACATTATTATTTATGCAACATGATCGGGATCGTGATGGAGCTCTCTCGCCCTTAGAAATGGACTCATTATTCTCGCGTTGTCTCGTTGCGCCATGGGGCGATGAATACAAATACACTGTACCCACGAACGAAAAGGTTTACTCTCGCTTTTATTATTCTTATAAGAATATCAAACTCTCTTGTAAAATGTTAAGACGATGAAAAACCGGTATATCTGTTTCTGAGAACCGGAGAGAGAGAAAACTATATAAGCTAAATATATTTGAATATAATTTAATTTGGATAATAATGCATGCAGGGATGGATTACGTTCCAAGGATACATGTGCCAGTGGGCGCTACTGACACTGACGAATGTGCGCAAAACCATGGAATATATGGCGTATTTGGGTTACAATATGTATCATAACGAGTCTCAAACGAGCTCGATCGTCGTGACTCGTGAAAAGAAAGTAGATCTGGCAAAGAAGCAAACTAGCAGAAACGTTTACACCTGTCATGTGATAGGTCCAAAGAGTAGTGGAAAAACTACGTTATGTAGAACTTTTATCGATCCTAAACTCGAGGTAAATTATTGCTTATTGGTAATATTATTGTAGTTGCGACTAGAATCTTGATCGTGTATTATCTTTCCGCTTGTATAATTTTAGAAATTAAATGATGAGATGGTACCGTCAAACGCCCACATCAGTGTGAATACATTGCATGTATACGGGCAGGAAAAGACGGTGGTATTGAAGGATATAAACGTGCTAAACGTGCAGGACGCTTTAACGCCAGCGGAAATACAGTGCGACGCGGCGGCTCTCGTTTATGACGCCAGTAATCCGAAATCGTTCGAGTATATAGCGCGTATCTACATCGTGAGTACATTCTCGTATCCAATGTAATGATCTCATTATATCGATTATACAGTTCTTACGATAAATGTATGTATGCTTTTACAGAAATACTTTGCTGATAGCAAAATTCCCGTTCTGATAGTAGCGAACAAAAGTGACCTTTCCGAAGTGAAACAAGGATATCTGCTGCAACCGACCGCTTTTTGCAGCAAATACAAATTGATGCCTCCACAGCCGTATAGCATCTCACGCACAGTACGACGTGAAATCTTCGTTAAACTAGCTACAATGGCGGCTTTTCCGTAAGTTGAACTTTCTCTGTCATAGATTAAGAACAGAATAACAAGGAAATTGTCAGATAGATCTCGAGGCTTTTCCGATTTAGAGAAAATATGAATTTTTTTCTTTTGTAGTCGATATATTTGAAAGTATATCGATTACATCAAGACTTTTAGAGCTTTTTATGCTTGTTTCTTCTTTTATATATATCTTTCACACTATAAAGTTATTTCGAGGCAACAATGATTTGCGTTTCTTATCGCATCTTTTCCAGAGTATCTCCCCAATTCTTTTCTTGTATTTTTTTAATTTTTAAGGAAAAATAATAATGTAATATAAAATAAAAACCTAATATAAAATAAAAGAAAGAAGAAGAAGACAATTCGGTATTAACAAAAAGATATTTCGTGTTTAGCCGCTTTCAAGGAGCATGGGTTTTATTTTACAGAGACAGGTTGGTCCGAATTTCAATTTCACACTGTGTAAAGATCTAGAAGCTTGAGCAAATCGTGAAAACTGCATTCGTTCATCGTCATCGTACATTCCTATCAATGCATGCATTCATGTTGAAGAGTTAACTCCATCTTGTCATATTAAATGTACTGTCGGGCGATTTGCTCACATAATAGAAAATTTTGTCATCGCACGGATGAAACTATACGTAACAACATATTGGCTCTTTTCAGCCATTTGAGGCGTATGGTCCACATGTTGCTTGTCGAAACCTCACCCTCTCAGTGGTGGAGTTCTTTCACAAGGTTTTATTTCGTATTACTGCTTGTATATTTCTTCCTCGCGATCCACAATTATCACGAATCGTAGCTTAATAATGTATAAACCGACCGCTTTTCATTCAAGCATGAGCATGCCACACGGTCGATCTCTCGCAAATTTCTCTTCAATTTATAAAGCTTAATTTATATGCTTAGATAATATCTAACAAGAGAGATTTTTTTTCAATCTGATTTGGCTTTATAGTATGGTAAAACTTTATTGTCAAAATTGTAATCAAAATTTCATCTACATTTGTATGTATACGTTGTTCGTGTTGTATCGTTAAATAATTAAGATTATTTAAGGATGACATTTAGTTTTATCATATTGAAACACATTTGAGATTTTTCGTACATTCGAATCGTTACATTAAACTTTTGTATTTTGACATTTCAGGCACATAACGATTTAGAGAAAATATGATTTTTTTCTTTTGTAGTCGATATATTTGAAAGTATATCGATTACATCAAGACTTTTAGAGCTTTTTATGCTTGTTTCTTCTTTTATATATATCTTTCACACTATAAAGTTATTTCGAGGCAACAATGATTTGCGTTTCTTATCGCATCTTTTCCAGAGTATCTCCCCAATTCTTTTCTTGTATTTTTTTAATTTTTAAGGAAAAATAATAATGTAATATAAAATAAAAACCTAATATAAAATAAAAGAAAGAAGAAGAAGACAATTCGGTATTAACAAAAAGATATTTCGTGTTTAGCCGCTTTCAAGGAGCATGGGTTTTATTTTACAGAGACAGGTTGGTCCGAATTTCAATTTCACACTGTGTAAAGATCTAGAAGCTTGAGCAAATCGTGAAAACTGCATTCGTTCATCGTCATCGTACATTCCTATCAATGCATGCATTCATGTTGAAGAGTTAACTCCATCTTGTCATATTAAATGTACTGTCGGGCGATTTGCTCACATAATAGAAAATTTTGTCATCGCACGGATGAAACTATACGTAACAACATATTGGCTCTTTTCAGCCATTTGAGGCGTATGGTCCACATGTTGCTTGTCGAAACCTCACCCTCTCAGTGGTGGAGTTCTTTCACAAGGTTTTATTTCGTATTACTGCTTGTATATTTCTTCCTCGCGATCCACAATTATCACAAATCGTAGCTTAATAATGTATAAACCGACCGCTTTTCATTCAAGCATGAGCATGCCACACGGTCGATCTCTCGCAAATTTCTCTTCAATTTATAAAGCTTAATTTATATGCTTAGATAATATCTAACAAGAGAGATTTTTTTTCAATCTGATTTGGCTTATAGTATGGTAAAACTTTATTGTCAAAATTGTAATCAAAATTTCATCTACATTTGTATGTATACGTTGTTCGTGTTGTATCGTTAAATAATTAAGATTATTTAAGGATGACATTTAGTTTTATCATATTGAAACATTTGAAATTTTTCGTACATTCGAATCGTTACATTAAACTTTTGTATTTTGACATTTCAGGCACATAAATCAATTCGGCCTAATGCAAGGGGATTCCCTGGTGTGGTGGAAAGCAGGTCTTGGAATCGCGGTCGCTACGGTCGCTGGTTACGTAATGATGCGCGTATTAAATACAGAGAAAAGATAGTCTACCATATTCGTGCTACTCGTGCGTGTTTAACTGCCTCCTATTGTCGAATAAAGAAAGAGAAATCCGTTATTATAGATAATCGCGTTATATAGATTCAATATATGGTACATACATATACATATATATATTCATAAATCACACTCTAATTTTCGAAATATAAAATAGCTAAGTATTAGAAAGAGAAATATGGATAAAGTGCAAATACTTTTGTGTAGCAAGGTGCGCTTATTTTACTCTGGTCAGAATACCCAAGTTTTTATTTGCAGTTTTTTCTTCCGATATGTATCATCTTGTAAGAACTATTTTCATCTTATAATATAAATTATTGTTTAATGTATCGTAATATATAAGTTAAGAGAGAAATGCGACGCATTGTGTATTATTTGTTAATGTCATCTTTATTTCTTTGCTGGTAGTCTTAATCTTTGAAAAAAAAAGAAATGTTTCACAGAGATCCAGATATTAATAATTTTCTTAGTAATATAATTTCCAATATATTTTGCATTTTTCAAAATCATGCTATTGTTACATACATTTTTATATGTATAGTTTAGGGAACATTAAAAGTTGGTTTGTCTAAAATTTAAACAAACATAATTTATTGATCTTCTAAAATTTGTAGATTAAAACATAGATTAGAATTCTGGACTGTTTTATATTACATTAACAGTACTGATACATATAACGATAAAAATAAACAGAATTTTTTGCTGTATAATCTATAGGATTGGAGCATAGAGCATGTACTTCAATTTCATCTAGTGTTTCTAGATTCTTCGTTTTCTACGTCAATTTAGAGAACATCTGAAAACAGAAAATATAAGACAATTAGAAATCTCATTTTGTCACAAGATTGTCTATAAAAATAACAATATTAAAAAAGATAAGATCGGTGTGACAAAAATAGCATTAGACAAGATTACTGACTATTGGCAACTTTGCATTGACGTAGTGCCTCGTTGAATCCCTCGCACAGGCTCAGATCGGATTGTTTCTGAGCGCATTCCAGGAACTGTTTAATCTCCCACGAGCAAGCAGCTCCGGTGGCCGGAGCGGCTTGAGGCGCTGCAGCAGGAGCAGCGGCAGTCTCGCTGGATCCTCCGCTGAAAAGTCCAGTCATGGCGTGACCGACGGTGTGTCCCACGGCGGAGCCGATGGCTACACCGCCAGCGGTGGCGGCCATTTGGCCCATGAGGGACGGCTGCTGCGGCTGGGCCACCATGGGTGCCGTTGGTGGAGCCTGAGCTGGGAGTCGGGATGGTACGGGTGCGGGTACAGCCGCGGCCGGCCTGACGCTGAAACGAGACGAATTTTTGACAGTTTTGGAGACAAAGTTCATTGAACTCGATACGATGAGCGTACAAATGATCATGCGATTGCGGACATTTAAAGTTTCTACGTCGAAGACTGCGATTATGATGTAACGCTAAGGGCAGCGCAAATGACAGATTATCAATATCAAGATAATTGAATTGTATTGAACTTACCTTCTTGGAGGAGGCGCAGAGGCACGTCCACGTCGTGGCATTTTTCTTTCTTATTAGATCGATCAACGAAGTGAAGAAATATATTCTCGCAATGTGCGAACCTGAACTTTGAACTTGATCACTCGACCACGTTCGACAAACTATGCTAGATGCTGCGTAATGCTAGCTAATAAGTGGAACAGAGGGCGTCCAAAAATTTCTTGAATGTTCTCACGTGAGCGTGATTCTTTCTCTCTAAAAATATATATATTATAAATAAACGAGTCTTTACGAAACTTTTTATAATTTCCTCACGTGACTAATATCGAATGCGTCGTATTTAGTATGAAACTCGTAATAAAGAGTTGTTCCGTATTGTTTTCTTTTTCTGATTTATTCACATGCAACATGAACATACCTATCGATACGTTCCCATGTAAACGGGCTATAAGATAGATAATCGAGCATCGCGAAAAAAAAGTAGAAGAGGCGCATCTTGAACATATGCATTATATGATTAAATCCACTCCACAATCATAATCACATCCCTCATTATGACGTTTGTGACAGTTTGTTGATCACATTCAATTTATACATGCAATTCACACAGTGATAACAGCTGATTTTAAAACCAGGAAATTGAAATAAATTTTATACACACGTTGCACTGTATATAATACTAAACATTTTTATATTGTTATTTGTATATATAATAATTAAATAGAATTTAATAACAAAATAGCACAAATATGTTGAAGCCAAAAGCTCTCACGCAGGTGTTAAGTCAAGCTAATACTGGGGGCGTGGAGAATACTTTGTGAGTAAGAATTTTGAAAAGAATAACGTTTTTAATAGATAATATTGTATTTTCTGCAAACAATTTACCAGTAAATTTTTATTTGTAATATTTTAAAAAACATTTTGCACACAATTTGTTCAAATTGACAAAATAAGAATATTGCATATATATTCATCATGTACATTCTTTTCTTATGTGTGCAATATGATTATCTTTATAATTTATATAGTATTTATGTGAATTTATTATAAATACTTATCTCTATTTAATGTATAATGTTTCAGATTACTTAACAGAGATGGAGGATTACTAGCATACAGTGGTTACGGAGATAAAGATGCTAGAGTTACAGCTGCTATTACAAGTAATATTTGGACAGCTTATGAAAAGAATGGAAGAAACGCCTTCAAGGAAGATGAATTACATTATGTTCTAATGGATTGCATGGTAATGATATATCAAATTTTTTATTATTTTACACATTAAGAATCTTTCATATTGTTCCCGTTTACAGGAAGGAAAAGTAGTTATTACAGAAGTAGCTAACTTGCTCTTATGTTTATATGCAAAAGAAAATGTAGGATTTGGATTGTTACGAGAAAAAGCACAGGCATTGGCTATGTATCTTGATCAACCCTTAAAAACAATAGCAAATATGCCTTGAGATTTGTTTTTAGGAATTTATCTGGAGATATTGTGCTCAAATTTATCCTTCTATGCTTTTTATTTATTGTTTGTGAGAACTTATAATTGTATCTCACTACACTATGTATAAATGTATAAATATATTTTTTATTGATTTGGAATTAATGTATGTATATATTCCCATTTTCAATATTTACATTTGTACCATTCTAAAAATGCAATGCTATAGATATTACATACACAGAAAAGAAGTGAAAATAGGAGCAAGAACCGCTTAACTTTAATAGTACAATAAATCTTTTATTTCGTACAAGTTACAATTAATACAAACAATTTGCATTTAATTTCATCTCACTTTACAAATCACACGCTATATAAGGTCTACTTAATGTAAGCTCACCTATCAATAATGTAATGTCGCAACAGTTGCCGTAAATAATTCTATTTATAATGTAAAATGGTTTACTGTAATTTAATTTATATAATTTATCGAGTTATATATATAAGATTGTGACTGCATTAGCGAAAAATAATTAACAATGTTTAATATCTATATTTTTTTTTGTTTGTTACTTATATTGTGAATTGCACTACACTAGAGAATTATTGCATATAGAAAGTTGTAAAGTTCTATATCTTTATTATACCAGAATTGTCTTATATTTTAAATTACTATTAAATAAATTTTTTGATTTTGTTATAATACATCTGTATACATACAATGATATACATAGAATGGAGATGTTTGTATGTATAAAAATGTGTGTGAAATCTGTTTTAGTAAAATATTTTTAATTTAGAATATGTATATGTGTGTATAATATAATTGTGTATAATATAATAACTTGTGTGTTTCAAACGAATTCAATACATTAGGTGTGGAGTAAAATTAAATTTAGAATTAATTAAAGTACTTGCAAATTTTTGTTGTAATTATTCGTACCAGATGTATTTAACAATAGAGAGTTCTCAAATCAACATAACTTGAAACATGGAAAATAATCATACCATAGGGTGCAAATATTTGTATATATGTATACAATAACTTTTTACACCTTTATCCTTAATAGTCTAGGGCTTATCATTTTATAATAATTTTAGTCTCCAATATAACTACTACCTTTTGTTCCCTAACGCCAAACACTGAATAATCACACAATAAATTTATCTATCATTATAAATCTCTCTATCTATATGAAAGTACAAACTTTATATGAGTAAAGAGGGGCGTATCTTCGCATGTGTAATATAATAATAATGAATATTAATACCGACTAAAAGTTCATGATTAAATATAGGAATTTGAGCTAGAAAATAATGCCTTATATTAGCCTAAAAAACACTGTACATAGTGTGCGAGATTAACAATATTGGTCCTAAAATTCCTGAAATTTCATAGTATCAAATTAATTCTTACCAGCCAATTTGTAACATCTTGTTATGTATCTTACTGTTTGTATAAATATTTGATACTTGATATAGTTATAGCGGAGTTTGTTTTTTTTTTTGTCTGTATTGAAACAATTAATAGCAAATATTGTTGAACTGTGTATTCTCTTATATAATATCCATGAAAAAAAATATTGTATATGTGTGTGAGATAATAATTTCGCACATGTATTATAATACTAATGGCATCTATAAAAGCCGATATTACGTATGTTCTTCCATTCAACATGTTTAAATATGATTTTATATATATGTTATATCTATAGGACACTTTCTTAATAGGCCTTCGATAATTGACAACCTACATCTGTTGCAAATATTATTTATTACGGATGTAGGGAATCATATCGCAACTGTGCAAATATTTATGAAAAAAAAAAAACGAGTAGCAAATTTCCTTCCAATCGTACATTTCATTAATTTGCGAACGAAATCGCATCTCTATCGTTTTTTTCTATCCTTTGTATCCTATATATGAAATGTGCATATGTGCAATGAATATTTCAAAATCTTGTAAATTGTACATGGTTTTTCTCGCTCTCTAAAATTTCTCTTTCGCACACAATAGCATCTACAAAGAGATTAAGCCTCTATTTTTTTTTTTTTTTTACACACATCTCAAATCTGTATCCTTAATAAGTAGTGTAATAAAATTGCTTTGTTTAGAAAAAATCTCTCTTTCCATATTAACAATACATGTAAAAAGTCAGTTTTACATATTCGTATTTATTACAGTTATGCATCTTGAATTTTGAAAATTATCACGTTTTAGGTACAAATATTATTTTTATGTTTTATAGCGGCAGTGCGAAGGTAAGTAATTTAGACATCTTATGATAAGGACACGGATGTGGGAAAAAGAATTTTTGTACAGTTTGGTACAAAAACGACAATTTTCTCTACCATATGTAGCACTATCGAAGATAAAAAACTACCATTATCGCAAAAATTGGTAATTTGATAAATTGGTACGAAACCGATTGCCTCCACAAATATCATTGTCTATTCAAAATATTTGATAAAGCTAAAACACAACTGCAGCCATTTAATATTTAATATGGAACAATATCATTTATTAATAATGTAACTATACTCTCTGACTATATGTAGTTAGCGTACCTGCTTTTAAAGCAAATAGGTGCGCTTATAGAAAAAGGAAGGTTTATATCTGTCATATAGCGATTACATATCTGTATATAAACTGTATGAAATTATTAAACTATATCCCTTTCGTGAGATCGACATTTTTTCTTTCTGTATACACTTGTTAATGAAGAGGAATAAATTAATAATGATACTTTCGGTTTTTAAAGCTTCATGTACAATATATATATATATATATATCTTGTGCTATGTAATAAATACATATACTATAAAATTTCTTTATCCTTTGCACAGTAATGTCCCTGTAGATTAACATTATCTAGGAATAGAGAGAGTATAATGGAAATAGAGTTTCGAATTTTACAATTTAACACTTTAAATGTAAAACAAAGAAAAGAAAGAAACAGTCTTCATATCTTGTCGCAGCGTAGTTGATCAAACTAAAGGAGGCAAAGGAAAACAAGGACGGATCTAGACATTACATGCGTGAACCCTTCTGCTGCAAAACCTAGAATGTAATCCAATAGTCTAATCTTAATAAAAACGTATTAGTCACTTAATAATTATAATACTTAATTCTAGTTATGAATTGTAATGGGTATTAAAATTATACAGATTTTTATTATTAGAAATATTGTTCCGCCTCTGTTACATTGTTGCGCCATATAAATTAATAAAAAGTAAGAAATACCCGAGTATATGCTAATCTACAACTATAGCTATAGCAGTTTAAGTTCCCGAAAGCTACCCTTATCAAAAAGCAACCCCATATGATATATATTTTAGTATATGTATATTTTAATTTAAGAGAAATTTTATCTTTTATATCATATATAAATAAATTATATATATGAGTTTCCGATAAAAAATATACAGGATGGACAAATTATTCTTATATCACATAATGGACATAATGTATAATGAGTAATTTAGCATGCAACAATGATTCATGCAGGTCACAGGTCATAAAGTAACCAAACCAATGAAAGAAAAAATTCTTTATTTAACGAACGGCATGCGGTACATAATAATAATAATAATATGGTACATACAACAAATATCAGAGGCAGAACATGCTCAACATGCGAAGAGGCCTCTGAGTTTCATAGACTATTAGGTGATTTTTTTTCAGTTAATACGACTTTAATAATGTGTATATATATATATGTGTATTTAAAGCACTAGATATGTATAGAAACATATATACAAAACATAAAAGACAAAACAAAATTTGATTCTATAGATGGATCTTTGTTCTGAAATTTTTTACTTGCAGAAGAAATTAAGCCACCTAATAAAAATATCTGTCGTTAAAAATATATTTTACATCTGCAAAAAAATTCTTTTTTCATACGAGCAAAATAATTTTAAGCAACTGTCAAAAATATTGCAGAAAAATATAGATATATAATATATATAGAAATGTATTGCCGAACCAAGCGTGATTGATAGGATGTGAAGTAAAATTTTATCTCTTAATGTAAATGTATATATATCTTATTTTTCATACATGTAGCGATAAAGCTTATCTTTGGCTTTCTACCCAACCCACAACTGTGTATGTCAGTCAGTTTAGGCAAATTGTTAATATAAAAAATAATACTATTTTATTTAATTTTGTCAAAATTGATAAAAGATGTGTTATTTGATTTCACGATAATGTTAGAAATCAAGAAAATCTATGTTGGATTGCAAAAATATATCTCAGGGTAATTTTCTTTTATGGCAATGAAGCACTTGGAAATTTCATTGTAACCCAATCCTTTCTTCCAGACAGGAAAGCGCTTGTGTTCCCAGCTGAAGAAGTAGTTAGATATTTATCGCTTCAATGAATATCTCATGCAACCCAACATGGAATAACAATACCGACACAGATATTTAAAAAATACATAATTTTCACTTAAACAGTGAAGATATTTAGTAAGAATGTAAATTGAACCTCGATTAATAAACCTATGATTACTATATACTAGTTTAGGATATAACAAAAACATAAAATAGTCGCATTAGCCGTGACTACTTTGGCTCAAATAAGAATGGGAAACAGTCGAATAGGATAGCGGTACCTTGACACGATCCGTGGACTCCTCTTCCTTACTGCTGAGCTGACTAGCTCCGTATTCTCGGCTTACGACACACAGAAATTCAGCGTGATCGTCATTACCATAGTTATATTGAGAACCTATGTTGATTAACTAAAAAAAAATAAAATAAAATAAAGGATAAATAGAGGAGAAATATTATTGTAAATCCAACACACAATGTGCGTGGGAAAGAAAATTATATAAATTGTGCGTGATTAACGAGATATAAATTGAACAAGTACACCAGTATACCTGTTCGAATCTCCATCCGTCCGACATTGTGGACACCATTTGCGTTAATTCATCCTCGTGACACTGGAGAACTCTATAAACGTGCTTTTTGGAATCCCTCTGCGGTCTAGTGTCCCTCAATATGATTCTTTCTTTGACTAACCGAATGAGCTCGGTGATGTTATAAAACTCTGCTTCCTCCAGTACACCCTCTTCGGTTAGATCCTTATTTATGACCAATTTGCCGTGACGTAGATAATTTAACACTGGACTGAAGTACGTGGGGTCGCGGTCAATCAGGTACGCTCCCGTTTCGTCCTTAAAAACAAAGCGTCTACTATCATGTTACCATTTGGGGCAGGAACCTCGCGGAGGAGGTTTAACCGATTCGTCCGACTTGTCAACGTTGACATAAATACGCGAACGCGTACGTTATTTAATCGAGAGAATTAATTTGAAATTCCCGGTAAGAAATCAACTAACCCTGTCCGAAATAAGGTCCGAGTCTTCCTGACAGAGCCGGTAGAGAAAGGAGTTGGGATCTCTCGCCAGGGTGGTCTTGGCCGTTAAAAAATACGTCCCGCCAACGTTCAACCGCACCCACTGATTATTGCACCGCTTGCCAACATGATTCTCTGTCACTTCGTGCGAATTCGTATCGCTGAAATCCGCCATACTTGCATCGGCATCAATTGACATTAAAGAGACGCAGATTAGGTTAGAGTTCCCGGAACGAGCATCCTCACATCCTCACGGCGGATGTAGTCAATGCGATGTCTAAATCCGTTTCACGTCTAATCGCAAAGTACGAATATTCCAGGGATCGAAGATATCCACCGATCCGTTTAATAATTGATATAATTTTACGAGTACGTAATAAAAATTCGCAGCTTTGTCCGTTGTCCCTCTATCGATTTTCGTGCGCATGCGCGAATACGCGTCAATTTTGGCGCGAAGACGCATAAGAGTGAATGCATCCGCGTTTAAAGGCGTATTTAAGGAAGGACGCAGTTTTCGGGCATGTTACTTCCGTAAGGAACAATCGTCTCGAACAATCATTATCGCGATTATCTCTCGCGAAATGTTCAATATTGTATATTGTAATATTGTACGCGCATCCGATACGAGTCCGTACGGATTCGAACGGCCGCCATATTTTTCGAGCATATGCGCGAAGTTGGAGCCTCGTTATTTGCTCGTTATTTCGAGCAGCCTCAAAGGGACGGTTTTCCGGCTGATTCCGGCGCGATAAGAGTTTGCGAGGGGGGAGCTCGTGCGAGGAAATAACGTCGACGGGGAAGGCGCGATATTAGCTGGAGAAAAGGAGAGATTCTTCGAGAAATTCGTTTCTCGGCCCGCGACATGTAAATAAGGGGCTGTCGTCGTCTGGGTTCGAGGCTCGCGCATAAAAAGCATCCATATCCCGCGGATTACCGGCAGTCATTGCGAATTGCGACACACGGTCTCTCCTCATCGTGATATGCGGGGCGCCGCGTCGCGCGTCGTCGTCGTCGCCGTCGCCGTCGCCGTCGCCGTCACCGTAGTCGTTGACAAGGAGCGTTGAACGTCGCGCTACTGTCGTGTTCGTTTCCAGGCACCACCGTACGAAGGATGCCGGTGAAGGTCGACGTGATACCGCCGCCGCCCGCGAACTCGAAACAGCCCGGTGTCACCAAGTCTCTCTTATACAACGGCTCGCGCTTTCAGGGTTCGCAAAAGTCCAAGGGCAACAGCTACGACGTAGAGGTGGTTTTGCAGGTTAGCCTTCTTTCCCCTCCCGCGTTCTCTCGCCGCTTGCGCCGTCGCTTTTCCCAAATTGCGCCATAAATTGGAGAACGCGAAATTCTACCGAAATGAACGTAGGACGATTTTACGAAATTAATTATTTTCTACGACGCT